GAATGGTTATTTCTGTGCTGATATATCTTTTCATAAAACTAGAAAACTAAGACCAAATAATGTACTCCAGGATGTGCTTTTTCCACACCTAACCATAAACAACTGATAATGTCTACCAAAAGAGGAAAATGTTATCTTCTAATATCTTTTGGGAAAAGCTGGTTATTACATCAGTGTTAACCGTACCAAACAGTGTGATCTATTTATTCATCTATCTCTAGTATTGGAAAAAAAGCGCGCTATTCGAACGGGAAGTTTAGTCCTAACGTGAATGACATTTCTCAAACTTTTGCTGTGTTCTTAAGCAACAAAAGTATCATTTCCAATCCAAAGAATCTATTCTGAGCTATATGTTCGGTAGATTACTTCTTTTTTTGTGTTTCACTCAAATTAATAGTTAACTGTGGTTTTGCCTCAGCTCACTATCGGTTTTTTTTATAGTTTTCACGTAAAGGCTAGCTTTAACTTATCGTTAACTGTTTTTATACATTTTTGATAGTTTTTGTTTACTGTGTGTTTTTTTTAACGGTCCTAAATTTACTGCTTATATTTTTAAGACAGTCTAAATCACCAGCCATGAAAAATTCATGCAAGAGACCTGGTTGCCGTTTTGCCGTTACATCTGGCATGCAATGTGACAACTGTAAAGGTTGGTTCCATGAGGCATGTACAGATCTAACAGCAGCAGCCTATAGCAGACCCAGCAAGTCTGATCGTAGGTGGGTATGTGTTACCTGCAACACCGATACGGTAGTTATGTTGGGTACTATCATTGCTTTACTGACAGGTCTGAGAGATAAGTTGTCTAAGAATTCGGTAAATGATATCATCATGACGGGTAACAAAGCTGGAACGCATAGAGCAAATAAGAAAAAGGATACTGACAGGTCGGTTATCGACGGTGCTGTTAACAGCACGAGTAATGATGTGCTGAAACTCAGCACCATCTTAACATCGACTGTCATCGACTCCCTCAGTAAACCTGGGTCCCCTGGGGAACGGTCCTTGAATGAGACAGTGGTTCCCAAAAATCCTGTAGGTGGATGGACTCACGTTAACAGGAGTAATAATGCCCAAGCGTCCCCTCCGAAACTGAACGTCCCAAGTATCGTGCGGAAATCAGTTGATGCTTTGGCCGCACAATCTACACCCAAGACTGTCCGCCCGGTCATCACTGAGCCCAGGAATCGAAAACGCGCCTCGACATCCAAACAACAAGATACCAAACCCAGACGCCCTGGAAAACCTGGGAAATCAATTGCGGTTCGTGACGACTCTGTCATAATAATGAACCTTATTGACAACCCCGACCTTCCTCTCAGTTTGCAGGACAAAAACGATAGGATGCTCTGGGGAGAATTAAACAAGAGGCTTGAACTCCCTAGAATAGAGCCTTTGACCGTCACACGGCTCACTCGGGGGAAGGACTCTAACCACCTAAACCACCCGAGGCTGCTTCGTGTTACACTTAAGAATGCCTCCAACGTAGAGGACGTCCTGCTAGCCAGTCACTTACTGAGGCCCGATGGGAACGTAAGAATACTGCCCGACATACCGTATTGTGAACGAAATCTCATCCCGAACATCCCTAAGGAATCTCGCGAGGCGTTTTTCCGTGGACGAAATATCATTGTGCAAGGTGTGCCGGAAAATATGGACCCAGCTCAAGCAAACTCTGATATTCGGGAATGGAAATTCATCAAGCATTCCTTAAAACTCAAGAACATATTGACCCAACAGGTAATGAGACTGGCCAAGAGAGACGGAGACTCTAGGCCCCGGCTGCTGAAGATAACCTTCCCCTCCTCCCACATGGCGTCTGCAACTATGGAAGCATTTCGTGCCAATAGACGTCGGTTGCCAACTGGCATCCATATGCATCCGGATAGGCCCCACGACAGCAGGATCAAGCACAAACAAAAGCTGGAGCTGACAATTCCACTCGTGGACTGTCTTGATCATAAAAAAAACGTGTAAAGGACAGGGACTACCAACTCGGTAAACAAAATGGATGAGCTACGTGAACTTAGCAACGCTAATGATGCCCATCTGATAGGAATATCCGAAACTTGGATAACGTCTCAGTTTACGGACCAAGAGTTAGCAATAACTGGGATGTCTTTATTTCGCAACGACAGAAAAACAGGAATGGGGGGTGGGGTAGCACTATACGTACGGTCATGCCTGGATGCGCACCAACTTCACAACCAAGAGTTTCACAATCTTGACGAGTCAGTATGGTGCTCAGTAAGATTATCTACCACCTCGAGGTGCCTAGTTGGGGTCGTTTACAGGAAGCCCACTGCCGACATCGAATATGACAAACGTCTGCTGGAAGGATTAACTCGCTCTACGCGTCTCGGATTCTCTCATATCCTGATTCTAGGGGATTTCAATCTCCCTAGAATCAACTTCGTGGAACATACATACATTGGTGGTGCCAACTCTACTGAAGCTCTATTCTTCAACCTTATCGGCGACCTAGGATTATTTGAAAATGTGAAGTCGGCAACCCGTTGGAGAAACAGTCAGACGCCGTCACGCTTAGACTGGGTATTCACAAACGAAGAATTCCTAGTTGACGACCTCTCAATCCTGGCTCCCCTGGGGAAAAGTGATCACGCCGTCTTATCATTCAGCTTTGTCAGCAAGACGGAGCTACGATATCCTACTAGCAACAAGCGCTGGAATTTCAAACGGTTGAATGTGTTAGCTTTACAGGACTATCTTCAACAGTTGGATTGGGATGTTCACCCTCAAATTGAAGTGGATGCTCATTGGGATTTTTTACTGCACACGATCTTATGTGCTACTGAGCATTCAGTTCCTAAAATGGTCCCAAAAAGCTACAAGCAACCTGCAATCATCAAGAACCGCACTCGTCGTTTGCTAAGCCGCAAAAGGCACTGTTGGGCTGAATATAAACGAACTGATAACAACGGCGCGTACAGGCAATACAAACATATAAGGAACATATGCACAAAGGCAATAAGAGAAGACAGGCTTCAGTTCCAGACCAAGCTTATCGATAGATTCGTCTCCAATCCGAAAAGCTTGTTCAGTTATGAAGCTTCTCTTCGACAAGGCAAAACTGGAGTTTCCCAACTGCTTGGTCCTAATGGCCCGACCAACAACGACAGTGATGCCGCTAACCTTTTGGCTGAACATTACTCCCGGACATTCCAGCTGACCCACATCAACCATACTGACGAAAGCTTCACGTGCACCTGTACAGGACTTTCCGAAGTGGACCTGAGTGCTGACTTGGTGCTCCGTAAGCTGCAGAACCTAAAAAAAGACACTTCTCCTGGTCCGGACATGGTTCATTCCGCTGTATTGAGGGAAGCAGCTTCAATCCTGGCGACACCACTTAGCGTGATGTTTACACACTCACTAAGCAGAGGCAAACTACCGGAAATATGGAAGCTGGCCCACATCACACCAATTTTCAAAGGAGGTCGACGCAGTGAACCCTCAAGCTACCGACCAGTGGCCCTTCTCTCCATATCTTCAAAAATTATGGAATCCCTAATATTCGACGGCATACTAGAACACTTATCATCCTCAAAGTTCTTCTCGCCTCAACAGCAAGGTTTCAGAAAAGGCCATTCTTGTATGACCAACCTGCTGACTGCGGTGGACAGATGGACAACCATCCTTGATCGCAAGGGGAAGGTTGACGTCATCTACCTGGACTTCTCAAAAGCTTTTGATATGGTCAACCATGCATGTCTTATCAAGAAGCTTGGACGATTGGGTATAAAACCCCCTTTAATTGACTGGATCACTTCATACCTAGAAAACCGACATTTTAAGGTCAGGGTTAACTTCACTCTCTCTCAGGCTATGGAATGTCCTAGTGGGGTCCCCCAGGGTTCAATACTAGGACCTCTTCTCTTCTTGATTTATATTAACGATCTTCCTCAACAAGTTTCATCTGATTTATTGCTTTTTGCTGATGATGTAAAACTTTGGAGAGAGATACGTAATCACAATGATATACTAGTTCTTCAGGAGGATCTGACTCGACTTCAAAGTTGGGCAGACGATAACGGACTTACCTTCAACACTTCAAAGTGCAAGGTAGTCCATCTGAGACATGTTGCAGACTATAGTTATAACTTAGGTAACTCACCTCTAGAAGTTTCCCAAGTTGAAAAAGATTTAGGAGTGTTGGTACCCTACGACCTGAAATCGTATGCGAACTGTGACAAAAACGCCTCTCAAGCAAACCTTGTACTGGTAACATTGAAGCGCATTTTTGGCCAGTTTGACGGTAGAACCTTCCACATAATCTTCAACAGTTTTATTCGTCCCCACTTAGAATACGGAAACATAGTATTTCCGCCCTCCCTCCAAAAGGATAAGGACACTCTGGAACGTATACAACGTCGAGCCACGAAATCAGTTCGGGGACTCAAATTCAAACCTTATGAAGAGCGCCTCAAATCACTTAACCTTTACCCGTTAGAGCATAGGCGTCTTAGAGGTGACCTTCTTATGACTTATAGTATCCTTAATACTTCTGATCATCCCCTTAAACAACTTCTTAAGCTTAGTCATAACACTAACCTCAGAGGTAACACCCAGAAATTGGAGACCCTACATAGCAGAACAGACTGCAGACACAACTTCTACTCTGTTAGAGTTGTCAAGTGCTGGAATTCGCTGCCGACTGAGCTAGTCCAAGCGACCTCCCAGGAGTCCTTTAAGAGAAAACTTGACTTATTCTTAAGGACTAAGGATAACATATTATTATGATTTACCAAATTCTTTTTTTCCCTCTACTATCGTTCATATACCTAGGTTCTTGCCTGGAGGTATTGGTGATCCACTGCTACCAGACACGGAAGCCCGTTAAGCGAAAGCTTCTTCTATTCCGTCCTCAACCATTTGAACCATTTGAACCATTTGAAATTGTGAGTGGAGGTTGCGGTTCGTTTGAATAGTAGTGCTGTCGAACTATCAAATGCGACTACTAAGTTTAGCATAAACCTATTATGTCAGACCCAGGTCGTAGTATCAATGTAATTTTTGGTAAGAATTTTTTAATTTTATTTGTTACAATTAGGGGGTCAGAATTATGTGGTCCCTTTACCATTGAGTAGCGACGCGACACTACTGGACTTAATGAAGTCAGTGGACTCTGTTTTACACATCCCATTTGATAAACAAAGAATAATATACAAAGGTACCTCAAATCCATAACTACTTGATATATTGTAGGAAGATCTCTTGCAGATCCTGATGCACTAATTTCTTCATCGGGTCTCACTCCTGGGTCTAAAGTTATGATTCTTGGTTCAGTAAGTCAGTACAAATCGTCTAATTAATCTGTTCTGCCAAAGGTTGAAAAACTTAATCCGGATGAGGCCGTAAAACTTGCCAAGGCAAAAGACACATCTGATACAGTCGACTTGCAACTAAAAGACCTCACAAACAAGCTAGATACTATTGTAAGTTCAACTAAAAAAGTTTACAAGTCACGTTTGGTTGATCCTAACTATTTCTCTCAGTGATGTATGAAGGCATTATGTTCGCCCCTTGAATTCATTTTCTAAAATACAATAGTTTGATTAGTACGAGCAAATAATTAATCGGATAACTATTATTATTTCTACGTTTGAGGATAATTTCGGTGCTTGCATTCTGCTCACATATTATGTACCACTGTTCATCGCTACTTTATCTTTTCACTCAGTTTCACCGATAGCCGATCATTGCTATCTCTAGCTCTTAATTATCATTGGAATATATTCTTCGCTTATATTTACAAAATAAACCATTGTTAACATTTTCTAGGGATTATGTCAGCAACTTTTCAACCCCAATTATTAATGTGATGGGGGAAGAGTCCAAGTATTTATGAAATAGGATTGTTGGTTTATTTAAAAACTGAACCGCTCGATTAGGTAAACTACACTTTTAATATCCTCACTTTTGACCTTATCGAGTTCTGGTTCATGACCCTCATTTGGTTTATATTCGAATTGCCAATTGATAAAATTAATTTTCATTCCATACAAGCCAGTGTTACGCTAAATTATTTGCGACTTTAAGTATTGCTTAGGGAATGATGATTAGGAACTATAGTTCTCAATCATACGAACTTACAGGTTCGTATTCTGAAGTCCTTTTCTCAGAAACTTCATGGTCAACATCTAACATGAGCCTCGAGTTGGATTTGTGCAGACAATTTCATCCTACAAAATAAAGCAAATTGACCAATACCTGAAAATTCTAAACATCACTTTTGCATTGCATAGGCTTGCCTACTTTGGCGTCTTTATTCAGCCTTCTGGAGATAGTTTTTACTCAATAATATATGGTGAAAAATGAAATTCTCGATCGGTCAGTTTTTCATCAAGACCGGTAAACATATGTTTGGACAATTTTAAGACTATACTGCTGCGACATCGACACCAAAGTGAGCGAAATAGTCTGATATATATTATTTACATATTACTTCCAAACAAATATGTAGCCATAATAAAACACAATGGCAATGTCATACAACAATTTCACCGATGTCACGCAGTTGATGATGATCCGTATTTGTTCTTGAAGAGTTTATTTTGTTAGTTTGAACAAATCATTCTAGGCGAAGGATTATTACAAATTAACTTAATCGGTAGTTGAGTATTCAGACCAATGAACTACAACATTAACCTAATCAAAATGATGTACTAATATCCGAGTGACTTTTGCTTTTTCGGTCGCTCACTGTTTTGGTATAGAATTCAGTCGCTAGCTAATATAGGACTTCGGATTATCCGAACACGACCTGATGTTACCATCAGCTTAACTAACATACAAAAACTACCCGTTCATTTTCAGGGTTGGCAAAACCCGTTTTTATTTGCATTCAACTAATCTCCGCACATACATACTCCTGTTACCACTCATGAAGAATCATAGGCTGATGATCAGCATTCTCCATTCGAATTCATCCTGGACAATCCTTTCCAGTTGCTATTAATCCTTTACATATTTGCTTCCAATGCCCGTCACAGTGTTCTTTGGCCATCCTCTTTTTTGTTTCCCTTCAGAATTCCAAGTTAGTGCTTGCCTCGTGATGCAGTTTGATGATTTCCTCAATGTATGTCCTATCCACTTCCAACGTCTTTTCCTAATTTCTTCCTCAGTTGGAAGCTGATTTGTTCTCTCCCAAAATAGGCTGTTGCTGATGGTATCCGGTCAATGGACATTGAGTATCTTGTGTAGACAATTGTTTGTAAATACTTGTATCTTTTTGATAATGGTTGTATTAGTTCTTCACGTTTCAGCTCCGTGCAGTAAGACTGTCTTGACGTTCGTATTGAAGATTCAGACTTTGATATTGGTTGACAGTTGTTTTGAATTTCATGTGTTCTTCAACTGTAGGAATGCTGTTGTTGCTTTGCCAACCCTCGCCTTTACATCTGTATCCGATCCTCCGCGTTCATCAATGATGCTACTCAAATATATGAAACTTTCTACCTGTTCCAGAGTTTCTCCATTAAGTGTGCTTGATTTGTTTGGTGTTTTTTGTGTTGTATTTGAGGATGTTGCTTCTTCCCTTGTATATGTTGAAGCCTGCTGCTGCTACACTGTCTTGACCTGCATTTGTTGATGTGTATGGAATAGAAGGGCTAGGTGATTTGCGAAGTCCAAATCGTCTAGTTGTATGCAAGCTGTTCATTGTATTCTGTGCTTCCTCTCAGATGTGGTCTTCATAATCCAGTCAACCACCAGAAGAAAAAGAAAAGTAGAGAGTAGGAAGTTTTTTCTGACTTCGGTTCTCACTTAGAATGCAGCTGTCCTCCATGCATGACATTTCATTGCAGTCCGACGTATGAACTCCATATGATGTTGGAGATTTTCTCAACTATTCCCACCACGGTTTTGAAGAAGGTTTCATAATATTCTCTTATCAATGCTGTCAGACGCTTTTTGATAGTCGAGAAAGTTGGTGCATAGTTACGAATTCCATTTAATTGATTGCTCAACAATGATCCATAGTGTTGCGACTTGGTCTGTGCACGACCGATCCTTACGGAATACAGCCTGTTGTTCTCAAAGCTGGGCGTTTACTGATTCTTTTATCCGGTTCAACAACACTCTGTTAAAGACTTTTACTGGTACTGGCAGTAGTGTGATGCCCTTGTAATTCTCACATTTGTTCACATCTCCTTTCTTTGGTATCTTGATGAGGTATTCTTCTTTCCAGTCCTTTGGCACTTGTTCTTCCAAATCTTCCTGAATAGAACGTGGAGCATCTTTGCAGTTACCTATACGTCTGACTGGTATACTGGCAGGTCCTGCTGCTATCCCGCCCCTGATTTGTCTGATGACCATTCCGATTTCTTCGATCATTGATAGAGTGACATCTATAGGAAGGTCAGTGTGTGCTCCTTCGAAATCCGGTAGATTCAATGAAGCCTGTTTGTTTAAGAGCTCCTCTGTTCTTGGATCTCAGTGATTGGCTTGCCTTCTTTTTTCTGACGGTTTCTTCGTTGTGTCATATGGTTGTCTGATATTTCCTCCTGTTGTAGCTTTTTCCTCTGCCAATGCTAGGTCTTTCATGTATTTCTGCTTTCAACTTTAATGCTCCCCTTCACTTACTTGTTTACGTCTATCTATTCAGCTTGTGTCTTGAATTTCTCTGCTCTTGTTCGACTGTTGATTGCTGTCTTCTTGTTTTACCTGTCTTGAATCTTGTCCAGGGTTTCGATAGAGATCCATTCCTTGTGATAATGCTTGTTGCGGCCCATAACCTCCTGATACATTGAAGTTCATGTTTTTTTATCTCTTCCTAATTGTCCTTCATAGTAGTTTTCTCTTCGAGTAGATCTTGTGAGGTTTGGAACATGTTGAGAGCTATTTTGAATTCATTGAGTTTATTAGTTTCTGGAGGGAAGACTGTATTGAACCTTTGTAATTCTGTTTACCCAGTTGTCCTATGCTTCTTTAGTTTCATTTTGGCCACAGGCAAGTGGTTATATGGAGCTATGTCAGCTCCTCTCCTAGTTCTCACTTCTTCCATTATCCTTCTGAATTTTTTGTTGATACGAGTATCTATCTGGTTCTCCGTGGTGTGATCCGGTGAGACCCACGTAGCGTTTGTCGGGTAATATTGTGCCGCCTATAACCAATTTGTTGAATGCACGTAGATTTGCAAATCTCTCCCCATTTTCATTTCTCTCTCCTAGTCGATGTCGTCCCATTATATCTTCATATCCCGTGTTGTCCACTCCAACTTTTGCCTTTAGGTCTCCCATCAGGATGGTGAGATCCTTTCTTGGGTACTTCGCTACGATTGATTGCAGCCTCCCATAGAACTGATCTTCATTGTCGTCGTTGCTATCATTGGTGGGTGCATAACATTGGATAACATTCATTGTGATTCCCTCCTTTGTTTTGAATGATACTTTAATGATTCTGGATCCACGAAATTCCCATCCCATAAGTACATTTCGTGCTTCTTTAGACAACATCAAAGCAACTCCCTGAGTGTGCAGAGCATTTTCCTCTTTGTGTCCGAAATACAGCAGCATTTCTCCTATATCTAACCTTTGTCCAGCTTGAGTCAAATGGGTTTCGCATATCCGAGCACCATCGAGCTGTATCTCCTCATTTTCGGAGCCATTTGGCTGGTCTTTCCTGTCTTCCACATTGTCCGGACGTTCCATGCACCTATATTAATTTTTGATCTGGTTGTTAGAAAGAGCGTTGGCCTCGTCACTTCCTAGGAATCTCGGCTTTCATCATTACGAGTTATAATTCTTCCTTCAACTAGGAGGACAGTTTAAATAGTTTGATTTGTTTATTCTGATTATTTTTTTAGCAAGGTTTTTTTTATGCGGGATGGGATTGCCCACTCCATGCCCAACCCCCTTCCTTTACCCGGGCTTGGAACCGGCAGTAGCCCTAGATGAGCTACAGTTGGAGCTAATCTCCGCATATACGAACTGTTTGTAGGTTGTTATTTTGGTTAGTTATTTGTATCTTCATGGATTCTATGTGTCACTATTTGTTTTGTCAAAGATTTCAAGTTATAATTTACATGCATTTTTGGTTTACTTTTTACATTTAGTTGTCTCAAAGTGATTCTGACAGTTTAGAGGTAACTGCACACGTAAAGTCTACAATTGACATTATGGAGCAGTGCATGCGTACTCTTGAGCTTCTGGATTCTGTCCGGTTGCCATACAACTGCGAAAATGAACGCGCTTGTCGAAAAAGGCTAGTGGACACAATGCAAGTAGGTTTTAAAGTAATGTTTATCTTCATCGAAGCGGTTTATGCTTAACCTGATACCTTTTTAAACCATGATTCCAAACAGTAAATGCTTTGTTGTTGTTATGATCAGTGTCACTCATGTAGCCCCGCTTGTGTAAACGTTGCTTCTCTTGCTTTAAACTTTAAAAATCCTCAGTTCTTTATCAATGAAAACATTGAGACATCTATGCACGTTACCTTTCGTAACAACAAAAGGCAGTGCAGACCTAATGTTCACATTAAAACATATTTCAGTAGAAGCACAAATTAGTATCCACTAATTATACTTCATTAGTTTCAAAACAGCATCTTACAAATGAATATTCGAAATTCATATCAGTCAGTCAGCTACAACGTTGGACCAGGCATATATATGCATCGGTCCAAGTTGCCATACCTGATTAGCACAACAAGATGAACACCACATTCATAGAAGTAGTCAATTTAACGATGGTTATATATAAAAGAAAGGTTGTATATAGAGATATAGTACAGGAAGGCAGAAAGTGTATGCACCTACGCCATCGTGATCGATTCTGAGCCATGTCACACAGAGTCTCCAACCATTAGTTACGATGGTCACGCGGACCTCAACCAAGTAGTCTGCATCTACCAACATGGCTCAGACTAAAGGTTAGTGACTTCAATGACTGATACCACGTTTTGGTTTGGCCGCCCCTAACTTTCTTCCAACCATCGCCAATACTAGTCAGCATAGCGCGTCGTGGTAATCAGTGTTCAGGCATACGTAACACGTGGCCCAACCATCTCACAACTTCATCAACTGATTCACCATCATTTCCTGATACTCTGCGTCTAACTTCACTATCACTTACCCGGTGATCCCAGCAGATGCGAGTAATATTTCTAAGACATCTGTGATCGAATGCTAGTAACTTGCGAGTATCTTCTACTCTTAATGGCCATGTTTCGCAGCTGTAAATTAGAACAAAGCGAGCTTCTGCGTAGTTTACTCGTCCCTTAATTGGTAGACGGATATCTCGCTTTCACCATAGGTGACGTAAGTTGGAAAAAGTCAAATGAACCTTTTGAATCCGTATACATACTTCGTCAGACACCAACCGATTAAGGCTGATCAGACTTCCAAGATAAGTGAAGTTTTCGACTCGTCCGACCACTTCACTCCCTATCCTCAGTTCAGGAATTGACGCAGTTCAGTCCTGAAGCAACAACTTGCAATTAGAGGGGAAGAAACGCATTCTAAACATCCTGGTATTGTTGCTCAGTGCTACCAAAACACTGCATTTTATCAGCGTCTTCACCAAACAGGAAAACGTCATCTGCGTATTTCAAGTCGATAAGTGGATCTCCTGGTAGGAGGTCAATTCCTGAAAATTCAGTCGAAGAGAGCGTTATTTCCAGCAGTAGGTCTATGATGAAGTTGAACGAAAATGGAGATAGTGGACAGTGTTGTCGGACACCACTTGAGGTTGTAAAATCGGATGACAATTCGCCATAAGCACTGACTCGACTGGTAGTGTTCGAGTAAAGCGCCTTCACAAGGTTTATTTACTTATGAGGTACACATTTCAATGACAGACACTGCCACAGAGCCTCTCGGTCTACAGAGTCAAATGCTGCTTTTGAGTCAAGAAAAACTATCATTGTCTGACGCCGATAAGCATATCCGTGTTCCAAAACCTGACGAATATTGAATATGTGGTCGATACAACCACGAAGAGGTCTAAAACCAACCTGATTTTTTCGTGTTTGGAGTTCACCAGTTTTAGTTAGGAGCCCGATAATTATTAAGGCTAGTATTTTAGATACTATGTTAGTCAAACTAATCCCTCTATGGTTATCACAGGATGATTTCGGCCCCTTCTTATATATTGGGACAATCAGAGATTGTGACCAGTCAGATGGGATTACGTCCGTCTCCCAGATTTTAGCCAGAATATTAGTCAACCTAATCGCTAAAATTGGACTACCATGTTTAAAGACCCTTGGATCCAATCCATCTGGACCAGCTGCTCTTCCTCGTTTTCAGATTAGTTATAGCCTTTTGAACTTCAGGTAGGGTCGGGGGACCTACTTCAATGTTCCACTCAGGTTTTCTGGGAATAGTGGGTAGTTGTGCATTAGCTGAAGGTTAGCTGAACTGATCTTTAAAGTGTTCCGCCCATCGTTCTAAACGTCTGGGCTGAGAGGAGATAAGGGTTTCGTCTTTTCCCGAGATTATTTCGCTTACACTTGACTTCTTAATTCCGGTTTTTTTTATTAGTTTGAAGAGTTGTCTAGTGTTGCCTACAGCCATCGCCATTTCTATTTCTTTTGCTTTCGTTACCTACGACTGCTGACGATTGTTTCTTAGACTTCTGGTCAACCTATATCTGATTTGCTTTCGCTCTTCATCGTGAGTTTACGAGAATCCATCAGTGTAATAGGCTTAGAAGAAATCCATCGGCTTTTTGTAACTTTTTGGTTTAAATTACTAATAGATGTTACTGCTGTTTCCACAGCTGTTCGTAAATCTTTCCAAGCAACAGCTGGGTCAGCCTCGTTTACAGAACTGCCTAGGTGTAAACTGAGTTGTTCCTGGAACTTGCTTTTGGCTTTCACGTCTCTCAGTTCAATTCTAGTGGGTCTTCTTAGTGTGGTTTTTCTGTGTCCAGTGAGGCGCAAGCCAATGCGTGCTCGTATTAAAGTTGACCAAGTCTAAACATGCGAGTGACATTCTTCTATCGAGCCTCTCCAACGATGACTGATGGCAATATGGTCTATTTGAGTCAATCGTTAGTTTGGTGCAGGGGGTCGCCATGTCGGACGATGTCTCTCTACTTATGTTTATAATTAGTGCTTGTTAGGAATAAACGATTGTCTGAGCACAGTTGCAGCAGACGATCACCATTATCTGTTCGCTGAGCTGAGATACTGAAATACCCACCTAACTGTCTTTCTGTTTGGTTTAAACTGCCTACTTGGGCATTAAAGTCACCTGCTACGAGTAGTATGTCTGAGCGTTTAGCTTTTTGAAGAAGTTCAGAGAGCTTTCTGTAGTCGACTGATGACGAGGATCCATTCTGATAGTACTTATTCTGCTCTCGTACTAAGTGTTATGCCTACACCTGCAAGTCCATGAGAACTAGCCATCAGGTCACCAGATACACGGAGGGTGTACCTCGTCTGCTCTCCGTTTTGGCGAGGCGAGGTCAAGTGAATAATCACACTAGGATCCTGTATGTGTGTTTCGGGGACACAGCATACATCAATGGTACGAAATTTTAGCGTTTTAGCCAAGAGGGCCTGCTGGCCAATTCGACATAGGGTGCGTATGTTGAAGGCTCCAATGTGCAGTTTGGAGCGAGGTTTTAGTACACCTTGGACAGTGTTTTGCGTACTAGAATCGTGTGCTATAGTGACACTTAAGGAGGAAGCCCAAAGAGGAAGTTTAGTGTTGAAAGTCGAGGTAGAAGGAATAATAGGGATTAAAGAAGGAGATTGATTATGAATACAGTGATCTTGAGTGGTGTTATGAGGGTGGTTATTGATTCCCAGTTCTTCCAGAGGTACCTAAAAAGGAAATTGGATTAGAAATGGTCTTAACGACCTGGGAGCATGGCCGCGGAGCCCAAGGGACATCTGCTTGAGGCCGGTCACGTACAGCCTTCTTGTGGGAAGTTTTTAACGTGCTAGCTCCATTCTTCAAGATGCCTTACCGCCAGAGGCGGATATCCGTGGGATAAGGCGAGGTATGTATTTTTAGGGTCGACCTTTTCTAACCCCAACCCTCCTTGTGGGAAGGCAGCATCGCTGTTATGCTGGTTGTCTGAAGGAAACACCTTACTGCCATCACACCTCTGTGCAGTCAACAATACGACTTCGCCTTCGGACCTTGGGTTTGCTGCTTTTAGTCTTACCGCTCTTCAACCGACCTGTCTGGCATGGTAGAAGCTTGAGGAACGATTGTTCCAGCCAGTATAGCTCGATTGGTTCATCACGATAGGCAAGCCCGACCACCATGTCAAGTTAGAAGCAACGGTCGGACCAACCTTGTAGAGGCCAGTTTATGTGCCTGTTAGAATTCAGGTAGTTCTTGGTTGGTGGTAAATTTTCTATACGTGACAATATCTTTACAAACATTTTCAAGTATTATTAGTTTGGATGGTAATTTACTCTGTTGTTATGGATTCCCTTAGTCAAATTCACTTTACAGACTGTTAAAGCTAATACTCTCGAATAAATGTTAAGTTCATTCTTTTTACTTATACATATGGACACTATTACCCAAAAGACGAACAAACGTTACCTTATTTCATTTTTGACGAAAGATTTCTCGCTTTAATCTGTTCTCGAAATATAAGTTTTGTAAAGTAATAGTCATATGAAATGATCAAAAAATTTGTTAGTGTTCACTTTTTTTTCAAGCATTATTTTCAGGTATATTAACCAATGTAGTTTTCCCTTCGATCTTTTTACTTCTTGATTCGTTCTTTATTTCGAAATATTTTCCAGGAGTTTCTTGTACAGGCGGACAAGTTGAGAACAGAATTTTTAAAGCTTATCAAAACACAACAATGACATTTTCTGTGTTAACATCTTTGTAACATAGTGTTTACTACAGTACTATTTTTGTCAGTAATTTGAAAAGTAATATTACAGTTTGTTATACCTGTATTTTTCCTCTTCGATCAGAAACATGAATATAAATAAGGTATGAACAAGGGTAACTGTCATAGAAACAAACATGATAACTGATCTCAGTAAAAGCGGATAAAAAATGAATGATCTCGTTGCATATTTTTCTTCTCTACCCCACCATTGGATTTTCAGTCATCGCTGTAAGGCAGTAAACCTATGCACAAAAATAAAACAAATTTATTTCAGTCTAGAAGCTAAATTTATACCGAATAATGAATTCATTTTCATCTGAATGTTTACAATCTATTACGTGATTTCATCGCAGATAACAGATTTAACGGGACTATGAAAGGAAATTTAAAAACATTCCATTGTGAGAAATTATCATATGTTAAGCACGTGGTATTACTCTTTGGTTGAAGTATAATTGACGATCATGTTAAAAAAGCTTCATTGCCTCAGAAAAGATATGTTAAGAATCAGTATTCGATTCACATTCATCGTTGTCATCTCAAGAATGTTTCATAGATTTGATATAGCTTAATAAAGTTCCCAATGTCCTATTGTCTAAGTAGCTAGAAGCCTCATACACAAAAAGAAATGTAGGTAATATGTGGCACGATACAAATAAGTGTCGTTCCTTGTTATCGCTTTTCAAACTGATCAACAAAAAGACGGCGTTGAAGAACGAGCGAGTTAGGTCAGTAAAGTTTATTAAGTGACACCACTTTCTATAAGTAGAAGTAGATAATAAGTGGGTCCGTCCTACTGAGATGAATTAATTCTAAGGTGCTTCACTTTGTCTGCTATCTCTAACATTAGTTGTTCCTTAGAATTCAACTAGAAAGCTTGCACATTCTTGAACTTTCTATACCAACAATTAATGATGTTTTGTAGTAGTCTGACCATCGGTAAGCTTTCTGTAAACTCACACAGCATGCTGGGGTAAGCCACAGCTGGTCGTGTATGACATATTGCTTAGACACTAATCGATAAGTGCCTATGGGTGTTTCGTTTCTCTCATCCAGTGTTCTACATATCTGACAACAACATTGATCACTTTATGGTTCCACCAAACGCGAACAATGCTTCAGAGACACCTAGAAGTGGACATTTACAACCTATTTGCAAGTATCTCTAACTTTCAAGTAGATAACTGGTGTCGAAAGCGAAGAGAATAATATAATTGAAGGGCACACAAAAGTTTACTGATTAAATAACTGATGCAAGTTGCCACAATTTTACTCATTTGACGACTAAGTCACTGTACAGTTTTTCATACATAAAATATATAGTAGGCTGGAATTTTCCAAGTTTTCTGTGTGCTTTCCTAATTCGATTACTTATTCGACCTTGAGTATATGGTCTTGATATTTACAGGGTATCAAATATACGAGAATTTCATGCACCTCATACTTACCATATCATTTGGGTATATTGGAGTTGTAGGTTCTGGTAATGTGTAAACAAATCTTTCGATTTTTCCACTAGCTTCAAGGTATATGTTTTTGGATGACAAATATTCCTCCATATTATTGCTAGCTTCAACACTACGATACAAGCCGATTGATATTGTTCCGGTACTTGCCAACTGAGCATGAAATAATTGACTGAAAGTCAGAGTTTTCTGTACAAATAGAAAAGAAATACGTGCGATATCTCATGTTGCAAATTTAGTGGCGAATTTCGGTATATTTGGCAGGTCGTATAACATATCCTAGGAAGCATTAGAATTTCGCCTCATAGGAGGTCAGTACTGAGGTCAAAGGTTATAAATAAGGATTTAACCCCTTTATTAGTAGCATGAGTAGTGTGATTGACTTTTATTCAGTGTATGTCACTATATGAAGCTATACTTAAGTAAACAGTTTATTATTGTTTCTGTGTAATATTCTGATAAAATTCAAGTGATCTTCATGACATAATTCTCAAACGACCTAAATAATATAGTGGGACTTTGTGCGTATTGTTTTCACTGTTGGTTCGTCACGTTCAATAGCAATTCTTGTGCCAAAATATTTTTATTAGTAGAATCGGTTTTTACATCACTTGTGTTCTCTGTAGACTAAACAAACAAACACTAGGTTGAGGTTGTTTAGACTTTAAACTAATCATTTTACTGTCTTGTATACTGGGAAAGCTAGCTCGTTTCTCACCTCTTAATGTGCTATAACAATATATTTACATTGATTACCTGGGAAGCTAAATGATGAAGTTCTTTATCCAATTCCATTAGGGGTATTAAACGAAGTTGGGATAGCCGAACAGCGATCGCTTCACCTGTAAATTAAGTAAAATTCTGAAGTTCTTTACATTAATTTCTAGATATAGGAAATAAAATAAAGATTCTTCCAGTAAAATTTAAAATTATCCGTAACTTAGAAAATCGCCCATTATGTAGCTCAAATATATCCTTTGTCTAGCGCCTAGTAACTTAATAAGTAAATAGACTACTGCGTTTATTAGAAAGGTGTAATTATATATTTCAGGAAATTAGTTGTATTTGTTGGCATTTTAATATTCTCATACTATAAATAGTATTCATACAGTACTTCAAGATTAGTAAGTGCTATTCATTTCAATTTATTCAAAATCTGGCCATTGATCAATATAAAAATCAGTATATTGAGACATAGTTTTAATTTACTTTTGGTGCTTAATAAATTCCCATCTATCATTGTCTTCATCCTTGCATGAAATCATATTCAGTCATAACGACTGGAGAAAGGAGGAAGTTGGGAAATTCCTGTATCACTGACAAAGTAGTTTTCACTTAAGAAATGGGAGAGACAATTTGAAGCCTAGCAACATGAATTGACTGAGATATTTAAAATGTAGTTTTCTAGTTTCTGGTTTGTAATATCTTGAAAAAAGTAAGTGCGATCTCAGAATCTTTCTCTAAGTTTGACTTTGAACTGAGATTTGATGTAAGTCTCATCCAAATGTTTCTTCCGTTATGACACTGTTGTACTGACATCAGTAAAGCGGTTGTATTTTGGTTATGACGTTCGACTTCCAGAAACTGAGTCCTAGATTCAAGGCTCGCTTCACCTACTTCGGTTCAGGCGAATGGGTGGTATTATTAGCCTTGACACCAAAAATATCAGGGAAATGAGTTAACTTATTTTTTATTGTTTGCGCATTAACAGTGGCTGTTTGGAATCATAATCAAGATTAATAACTTTTAGAAATCATTCCAGTTCCTTACGATGGCATTGACACAAATGACATTGTTTAGATTTCTAGTCTTTTAACCAGGAAAATGGGCTTAATGTGATTCATAGACATTCCCTATCTACTGGTTTACAACTACTTAGTTCCGTAACATTAACTGGATCACCACGAAAGATCAGTAGTGTTTTGAAGGTAATTATGATCGTTTCTTAGTAGTCCACTAGTATTCTCGACTTTCAATGATCGCACTTTACTGGTATAAGTGGACTGTAGACTTATCTTTTGATAGACAGAAAGATGTTTTATTTATGCTACAGGTGACCCAGTTAGTACCTGTTACCTCAATACAGTGGTCAGCCCCACCTATGGTGAGGACCTATTCGAGCTTATATTGGCTAGAACACTTACTTGTTGAGGTCCTACCGTGCTAAACAGGTCTGCTGGAGGTTAATAGGATCTAAAGCAGCAAACGTAAGGTCCGAGGGTGAGGCCATTCTCTCGACTGTACTGGGGTGTCGAAGTAAGGTGTCATAGCAACTCTCCTACAATCGATTTCGATTATTGTTAAATTTTTTTAAGTCCTTTATTGACTCACTTAACAGGCAATGTTATTCGAGCAGTAACAATTCGCATATTTCTTTGTACTATTTTGATTACTACCATATCTCTATAAACGTGTACGCTTGATCATATGACAGACTCCAGCTAAAATGTTGATTGCTTAAATATCTCTCGATGAATCATTCTCTTCTCCATGTATATGTGTTCTTGAATCCTATTATTAACCTTGCCTAGGTGCGCCTTATTCGATCTGACTATATATTCGCCTCTGTATTTCCTCGCATACACACATTCGTCTCTCTGCTTCAGATTCGCTCGATGTGCTTATAACTTTGTCTGTGCTATTCGCTAATAAACTGTAGTTGCCGCTTACTGATTTTAAACACAGTTATCAAGGTGATTTATTAACTTGCCACTGAAGTGTTTCCTATGGATAACCAGCTCCAAGGGTGCTGCTTTCTTCAAAACAAAGGGTGATTAAGAAATCCTGGCCTCAAAATACCACCTCACTTTGCTCGAAGGATTTCCGTTCCTAGAGTTCTGGCTAGTGCAGAACTAATGCCTCTGAAAGTACTTAAGGAAAGATCGTACGTTACCGCTCTCAAGTAGCTATAACTTGAACTATAGAGTCACGAAACCATCACTACTAACCTAATTTCCTTTTTAAGAAGAAATATCTTTTTACGATTAGGTCAACTGGGAAGTGACACTATAACACCTTTGTATGAATTCGAGATCCTAAATTGATGTATTTCTTTGGACAATCAATTTGCCGTTTTTCTAAAGATTTCATGCTACATCCAGTAGCCAGTAACGTTAAAGGTGAGCTGTTTAGACTTCAAACAATTCTTTGAAGTTTTACTATCAGATAATCTCCATCATTAGCTTTGTTGACAAACAATAATCAACTTCATGATTTTACGATTTATACTGCCTATCGCTTATCAATAAATGTTGTAAGACATTACTCAAATCCGTTCATCAACCATGAAGGTTTTGGTATCTCAAACAACCAGTACAAGTTAAAACACCAGACAGAAAGATTTATTTCAACAATTTAACTCACCTGTTTCAGTTTTATAGCTTAAAAAACTTTTGACATTTATTTGTTCATGATCTGATGTTATATAATTAGAATCTGTCTTCTCTTTCAAGAGTTCTGCATCATTAAATATATCATAGATTACATTCTTATTACCTTCTACATAACAGTCACTTGATTCACGTGATCTTAATTCTTCATCAAACTGGAATATATTTCCATTTAAACTATTCTGCTTTGAAAACACTTTATTGTGTTCATTATTCATTAAATCCGAGATAGAACCAGTAGTTGACAAAGTGTTTTGTACTTCTCTGGAATATGGCTGATTAATTTCGTTTTTATCATCAACTTGACTTGGTATATTACCAGTTAGATAATCTGGAAATGTTAAAGTACTGACTGGTTGTCCTCTCAAGCCTGGAAAGAAACCACTATCAATAGCAAATATTTTTTCTACTTCATGACCTGGTCCACCGCCTAAAATTGTCTCAATAAATGTTATTACAGTTGGATCGAATAGTACCTGAAAATCAAGTGTAATGCAACAACTGTCTGTAGGATAAGTAAGAAATAGGTAGAATTAACCATTGCTTTTCTCATACCATTTGTGTTTAATTAAACGATATGGTATTAAAATATTCAAAACCATAGATATAACATTATTCAATTCGTAGTTTCAGTAAACCATATTGTATTTCAATAACTTTTACTGCGTAATGCGGTCTCTAAGAGTGAAGGATATTTTCATTTTGCTGCTATTTGATCTACCTTCTAAGCACTGCTGGGCAATGTTTGGACCATTGAGTGAGCCTGAGTTTGAAAATTATCTCATACTTTCTCGTACAAATCCATTCTTTTCGAATCATAACTGAAAGAATTGTTTACGGTTGTACCTTTCCGCTTCCCCATTATTATTGTTGTTATCATTATTATTATTACACTTCCATACAGTAATCTGTGGTCGTTATTGTTCTTTTCTTTCTTCTCTCTTATACGCACATTACATTCTTTTTCTCTTCCTGTCCGGTCCGTCTTAACATAGAGAAGGCAGACATGGAAGCTGTCGACCCTGCAGCATCGGATAAAAGCTAGGTGTAGCTGTAAATAATTCCCCAAAATCAATAGCTCATTAAGTGTTCGACATTGGATGCTGACCACGTTGTTTAAGTGGACTTGTTTAGCTGAAGGCTTTCGGTCATGCATCCGCACCAGATCACGTTTCAATACTGCGTGGGACACAGCTCCTACGTTTCATTAGCCAGCTCATAGAAAAGGTCCTCGATATATTGGTAACGAATCAAATATATCTTTCCTGCCTCTTCTCGTTTGACTTCTGATTTTCTATCTGACTGGTAACAACCGAATTTAGAAGGTGCTACTGGTATCTAGTTGTAAAACTAGAATATCCGTTGCATCATCATTGGTGAACCCGACGTGATCTGGTACACCAAGTCAATATACTGTGAGTCTGTTCCATTTTGGAACATTATTATTCATTGTTATTCTTTATTTGAATTTTATATATTGTGATATACTTTTTTCGCGAATTTTTTTTCTCGGATATATTTTACTTAGACATTTTTCGATATCTATATTACTATGACGGAACACTCTCCTAAGGTTCTTAAGTTAAAGTCTATTCCCCCTATTTCGATTCAGTTAACGCCATTTTGGCCCGACAATATCGAGTCCTGGTTCTGCTATGCAGAAGCCGATTTTTGCATGCACGGAATCACGGACTCGCGCACACGTTTCCTCGCGGTAGTTAAGGCGTTACCGCGCGAGTTTAACAGGTACGTAACACCTAGTATGTTTACTAGTGATGTTTCCGAACCTTACGAATCGCTTAAGCTATCGATTTTAAAACGAGGAGACCTAACTGATCGACAACGGTTAGACCAACTCCTTAACAATATCGACTTGCAACATGGTTCTGCGACGGACATGTTGCTTAGAATGAAAGAAGTCATCGGCCAACGAACTTTCGATGATGGCCTATTTAGACAACTTTTCTTGTCTAAACTCCCTCAACAGGTGCAGGCAGTGCTTGTCTCATTTCAAAACAATTGCATAGATGAACTAGCTGCATCTGCCGATCGAATCTTGGAAATCACTAGATCTTCTAAGGCCGAGGTATTTTCCGTCAAAGAAAAACCCCAATCGACCTCGACTGACATGGCCGAACTATGTCACACGCTTACACGATATCTTAGAGTTCGCAATGACCGTAGTCGGTCAAAAACCCCGCGTAGAAGTGCCTCACGTAAGCGATCTGGCTCTCGACCACGAGAGACAGACAATCCCGACTGGTGTTGGTATCATAACCAGTACGGTAAGTTTTCCAGAAACTGCAGGAAACCTTGCAATTATCCGACCCCGAAATCGAGTGACACGAAAAACAGTTCGGGAAACTTCCCAGCCGGCACGCGTTAACGGCAACCGTAGCCGGCGAACACAGCCGCCTCTTATATGTCACGGATGTGACTACGAAAGTTCGCTACCTCGTCGACACTGGCGCAGAAGTTAGCGTTCTTCCAGCAAATCTCGACGACAGACTTCGCGAGTCTGTTTTAAGTTTACAGGCGGCAAACGGAAAGCCGATCGCTACTTACGGTAAAAGGTACGTCTACCTTAACGTGGGTTTACGTAAACCCATACACTGGATTTTCGTGGTTGCAGATGTCTCTATGCCAATCATTGGTATTGACCTGTTACAACACCACAATCTACTCATCGACACACGCTCACGAAGGTTAATAGACGGAAACACTAAGTTGTCCGTTTGCGTAACTCCTTGTTCTGGTTGCAGGTTATCCCCAGTCACGATTAAGCACGACATAGACCCCTTGTACCAAGCAGTACTCGACAAATACCCCGGGATATACCAATCGCAATCGAAATTACCTTGTGTAACCAGCAATGTTACACATCACATCTCGACTACAGGACCACCTGTATTTTCGAAAGCCCGAAGACTCGCTCCCGAAAAACTTAGGTTAGCTAAAAACGAATTCAACCACATGATGGACCTAGGAATAATTCGACCATCGAATAGTCCATGGGCATCCCCATTGCATATGGTCCCTAAAAAGGACAGCAATGATTGGCGGCCAACTGGTGATTATCGGCGTCTGAATGCTAAAACCATTCCCGATCGTTACCCGCTGCCTCATATTCACGATTTGACAGCTACCTTGAAAGGTACAACTGTCTTTTCGAAAATCGACTTGGTTAAAGCTTATAACCAAATCCCGATGGCAACTGACGACATTCCTAAAACCGCCATCATCACTCCCTTCGGTCTTTACGAATTTCTACGAATGCCCTTTGGTTTAAGAAACGCGGCTCAAACCTTCCAAAGGTTTATAGACGACGTCTTCCGAGGTCTCAACTTCGTACATGCGTATGTTGATGACTGTCTAATAGCAAGTCCGGACAGAGAATCGCATCTCAAGCATCTGGACATTGTTTTCGATCGACTTCAAAGGCATGGCATTACTGTCAACATTCAGAAATGCCAAATCGGAACTAACTGCTTAGACTTCTTAGGACACACCATTGATGCCCAAGGCATCCGACCCCTTAGGAGCAAAGTGGCGGCCATTCTGGATTACCCAGAACCGACCACGATCAAGCAGTTGCGAACTTTTAACGGACTCGTAAGTTTCTATAGACGGTTCATACCTAAATGCGCATCCCTAATGAAACCGTTGACCGATCAGCTTCGTGGAAATGCGAAATCAATTAGTTTAGACGACACAGCCCGTAAAGCATTTTCCACAGTTAAGGAACACATCGCTAAAGCAACCTTGCTTGCTCATCAGGACAGTCAAGCGCCCATTAGTATCGCCGTAGACGCATCCGACTCAGCAATCGGAGCAGTCTTACAACAATGGGTTAACAACTCGTGGCAACCTTTAGGATTTTTCTCGAGACGGTTGCTAGACGCTGAATCTAGGTACAGCACGTTCGGTAGGGAACTCCTAGCTATGTATTGTGCTGTACGGCATTTTCAACATTCCATCGAAGGAAGAGAATTCACGCTCTTTACCGATCACAAACCTCTTACCTTCTCTTTAAGTTCATCTTCAGACAAGTACTCACCAAGAGAGTCTCGACAACTCGACTACATTTCGCAGTTTACTTCAGACATACAACATATTTCTGGAGCAAACAATGTAGTCGCAGACGCCTTGTCTCGAATTAGCTCCTTGAACAGTTTCCAAGGAATCGACCTTCTTAAACTCGCTCAGCTTCAAAAAGAAGACATTGATCTTCAGCATGAGTTATCCTCGACAACTCTTAAACTAAGTATTAGGCAGATGGGAACAGGTAAGGAAACCTTACTCTGTGACACATCTACAGGTAGGGATCGTCCAATTGTACCAAAACACTATCGCCGCAACGTCTTCAATACGTTGCACAATCTTTCTCATCCAGGTGCTCGTGCAACAATCGAACTTATAGCCGAACGCTTTTGTTGGCCTGGCATGAATAAAGACGTGAGGGAGTGGTCACGCTCCTGTGTAAGCTGTCAGAAATCTAAGGTAATCAGACACAACAAATGTCCCTTAGGTTCTTTCAAAACCCCTGACGCTCGTTTCGACCACGTCCATCTAGATTTGGTAGGACCCTTACCCGACTCGAACGGATACTCATATCTCCTAACATGCGTAGACCGTTTTACTCGATGGCCAGAAGCAGTACCGATTAAGGACATTACTGCTGAAACAGTGGCTCGCACTTTCGTCGAACGATGGGTAGCAAATTTCGGCTGCCCTTCAACCATCACTACAGACCGCGGACGCCAGTTCGAATCTGGACTTTTCCGTTGTCTGACCACACTTTTAGGAATCACGCGCTTCCGAACGACCGCCTACCACCCACAAGCAAACGGGTTGGTAGAACGTTTTCATCGACAACTAAAAGCCTCATTATCAGCTTCAAACGTTTCACAGTGGACAGACGCTCTTCCACTCGTCTTGCTAGGTATCCGCAATGCAGTGAAAGCTGACATTGGATACACGGCATCTCAACTCGTTTACGGAACGACACTCCGACTCCCAGGAGAATTCGTGGATCCTTCAGTTTCTTCATTGAACATGGATCTAAACTCTTACACGAGTAGGCTTACAAACGCTATGCGTTCAGTTAAACCTGCTCACACTCGACCTCAATCAACTGATGTTTTCGTTCAACCCGAACTACGACATAGTACACACGTCTTCGTTCGTCGAGACTCACATCGACGACCCCTCGAATCAGCATACGAAGGACCCTTCAAAGTTCTTCAACGCGAACCTAAGTACTATGTAGTCGACAAGAACGGTACGAAAGATAGCATCAGTATCGATCGACTCAAAGCTGCGTACCTAGAAGGAAACCCTAGCTACGTCGATTTTCCTTCGGTACAAGCAAACGACACAGCTACTACACTCGTAGTACCCTACACGACAACCGACACACAACTTGATACTTCGTCAACGTCGATAGAAAAACCTAAAACAACGCGTTCTGGAAGACGAGTAAGATTTCCAGAACATCTTAACGAATATTGCACGTAGGACATAAGCTTTATCTTGAATTAGCCTTTCAAAGTTTATTATAATTTTTTTTAATATGCTCATTTTTTTATTTATGTAAAAAAAAAAACAAAAAAAAACAACATTTTTTTTGAGCGTATATAGATATATATTTATATATTAAAAAAAAAACCAAAAGAAAACCTTTTTCCGATCGCTTTTACGCTGTTTGTAAGTGTATCAGTTTATTTTTTTTCCGCTCATCTTGTGTCCTTACGCAAGTACGAGTGTATTTTTGACATGCACTCACACGTTTTATTTTTCCTCTTTTCCAGGACGGCTGGAAAAGAACGACGAAGTTTCGCAAGGAACAGAAATTTTCATTGTACTATATTTCTTTATTTGCTACGTTGTACATTTTAGTCCCATAGTTTAAGGAAAGACGACCAGACGCTGCTAAACGAAGCAAGCTATCAGAAGAGTGTTTACCAACGACAAATTCGTTGGGTTTAAACTTCTGGCTGGTCACGTCTTAGGGGCATCACTACCTCACTAGGGGGGGAGTGATCTGTAGCTGTAAATAATTCCCCAAAATCAATAGCTCATTAAGTGTTCGACATTGGATGCTGACCACGTTGTTTAAGTGGACTTGTTTAGCTGAAGGCTTTCGGTCATGCATCCGCACCAGATCACGTTTCAATACTGCGTGGGACACAGCTCCTACGTTTCATTAGCCAGCTCATAGAAAAGGTCCTCGATATATTGGTAACGAATCAAATATATCTTTCCTGCCTCTTCTCGTTTGACTTCTGATTTTCTATCTGACTGGTAACAACCGAATTTAGAAGGTGCTACTGGTATCTAGTTGTAAAACTAGAATATCCGTTGCATCATCATAGGAATTTGACTTAGAGGCATCAGTAAAAGAAACATGGACACATTTCAGGCAGTTGTACAATCGGGTAACTCAACCATATATACCCTTGACAGTCCCAAAGAAAAACAAACACGGTCGTCCCTCGATAGGCCGGGATATTCGACATTTACTAAGACAAAAGAAGAAATGTTACCATTAGCTTTGCACAGCATGTATAATGGAACGCTGCAGGTCGGTAAGAAATGCGTATATAATGAGAATTCGGGACTCTCAGAGAAAATATAAAATGTAGTTGACGCAATCTGCACTAAAGCAATCTAAGGGACTATTCTCGTACATAAATTATGGAACAAGAACGCAGCATTGGATTCCCAACCTAATTGAGAAAGGGATTGGTTTTAAAATAATAGAGGACTATCAAGAAAAAGCAGAGGCTATGGTAGACTATTTTGTGGCAGTTTTCACTCAGGAACCTCATTTACACGAAGAACTAAATCCAAATACAAAGTCAACAAACCGTCTGCTCACCGCGGACTTTGATATAGACGATGTACTTAAGGCTTTTAACACCTTAGACATGGAAAAGTCAACAGGACCGGATGAATCACACCCCCAAATTCCTGAGACATATTGCACAATATATCGCAGCACCACTGACTGTGATATTCATTATGTCTTTTGACCAAGGTGTGTTACCCACGGACTGGAAGGGTGCAATCGTCACTCCCATACATAAAACAGGATCGAGACATCTTCCAGCGAACTACAGACCTGTCAGTCTCATCAGTGTCGTAGTCAAACAGATCAGAATGACATTTATGGAAATTAATAACCTGTTAAACAGCGAACATGGTTTCAGAAAAGTTTTATCTTGTACAACGAACCTCCTTATAGCAAGGGAATTTCGGATAAAGGCTTTAGACGATGGAAAATCAGTGGATGTTGTCTACATAGACTTCAGCACAATATTTGATAACGTGCCAACAAATAGACTACTCTTGGAGCTGGAAAATCTTGGCATTGCCGGACCTCTCCTAAAATGGCTAAAGGATTTCTTAGTAGGTCGTAGGTAGAAAGTAAGAGTAAATTTGAAGTGCTCCACCTGGAGACCAGTACTTAGTCGAGGACCTCAAGGTTCTGTATGTAAATGATCTGCGAAGTATAGTAGAGTCCCCAATGTCATTATACGCTGATGATGTAAAACTCTGGAGAGAAATAACGAGAGACGCAGATGCATGCGTACTTCAGGCAGACTTAAATATTGTGATTAGCTGGTCTAAAGGGTGGCTGATACTTATAAACGCGGCAAGGTGCGTATGCATACACGTTGGGTATACAAAGGCAAATAGGGACAGTATAATGAAAGTGCCTGCACCTTTGGTTCAGTTTTACAAGGATTTCGCGGTGACAGTGAGTCATGATCTTAACACTATGGCACACTGCTGTGAGGTTGCAGCTAAAGGGTTTGGAACCCTATGGGCTTTAAGACGGACATTCACCAAGTTAGATACTACCATAGTATACACAACCTTAATGAGATCCAAACTTGGGAACTATGTTTCGGCTGCAAGCCCCTGTTTGAAAGGTGACTCGGATATCCTGGAGAATGTACAGAGGGCAGCTACCCGTGCAATTCTAGAGCTCCGGACTTTACTATACAAAGATCGGCTTGAGAAACTAGACCTGTTTACTCTGTCCTATCGCAGATTAAGAGGTGATCTGATTTCGATGTTTAAAATACCAATAAATGCTTTTGGACCTAATCTATCCTCTTTTTCTTCCCACTAGAGTGGCACATCTAAGAGAACATAGCAGGCGAGTAGGAAAGCCGATAACAAATCAAATACCAGTGGCATAAAAGTTTTCACACCGAGTCACCAATTCTTGAAGCTTGTTACCCGAAGTAGTGGTGTCCGCACCTTCACTTGACTCATTCAAGAGAAGACTGAACACTTCTAGAAGAATACTAGAAAAGAAATAACATAGGCCTTCTGTCCTTTCTACACAAATCTGAAAATGCGAAAACATGATTTTTTTTATTGACGTTACCAAAGTCACAGTTTATATCAGATTATTCCTCTATAATTTTTCAAATAGTTAATATTTACATCAATATATAATGTTAAGCACATTAATCATAACATAATTAGATAACCGAAATAAAGTTTCATCTAACTAAAAACTCTGCAAATAAATATTGTCAGTTACAATATTCTTTTCATTTGGTTTGCGAAAACTTAGGCCGTTAAATTTTATGAAATTTGAGGTGTTTTTACTTCCTATAAAGTGTGATGTGGTATGGCCACCCTATTTTGCACATGCTTACTCTGTGATATCACCGAATTATATTGAATAACTAAAATATAGCACACTGAATGTAAAATGACACTTCTGCTATCTATAAAAGTATGTTGATCAGTGAAGTAAACTTTTTTTCTCCATTAAATAATATACTACTAGTATTATATAATTAAGTTAACATTTTATTGTAAATCAGTTATTCGAATTTCCAGAGAAAGCTTCTAGGTAACGATCATTTTAGAGAACAATGTAATAATTAACAAATTTATAGTAATTAAAATAACTTTGATCTTTTCTCATTGAACATTAAAAGTAAATTTTAATGGAGTTTTGTTCTCTGAAGTTTGTGCTGATGATGTTCAAAAGAGCGATAAAGCTCCACGACCAAACCATCCAGTTCAGAGAATAAAACTCCATCAAAATCATCCATCTGAGCTACAAGTCTTCTCTACCATTTCGAAGTAGATTTTAGTCTCTCGCCTATAAGTTTAACTAACAAAAACTTAGTTCAACGAAGATTTTTATTAGCTTTGGAGAAACTTATGGAATTTCTAATAGATGTTTAATAAAATAAATTTTTACTTACGTTAGATGAAAGACTATGCAAGACGTTAGATTCGAAAATATTTCCTGAGGCAATTAATGGATTGAAGAAAGTAGTTCCATATTTCGATTTAGTTGATAGAAGGCTTGCATTGGTTACATCATCTAGAGTTGAAAGGAAATGTTTTTATTGTGTGATGTAGGCTTCTGCAAAGGATGAATTATTTCAGAAAAAAAATTCGAATCCTCGATATATTCAGAAATAGTATTTACTACTTAGTGTGTTGGCTATTTCCAATATAAATATTTACATTAACTAAATTTATTGATAAATTATAACTTTATTACAATTTTTGTCACAAGATTACACTTTTTGAAATTATTTTCTGGTAACATTTAATGATCTGGGTTTTGATAAAATTGTGTGTGAATAAGCAGAAATATGTTTTAGAAAACGTTGCAAATAAACAAACACATTGAATCACCTTCAATAAATGTTTATTTTTGAACTATTTTGCCTAAACCAACATTGTATGTAGAACAACAATATTAGGGAGTTGGTTTCGAGATTAAGAAGTTTAAAATGCCATGAATTGTACATTACAAGTATTTCAAATATTTGAATAGATTCTTTAAAGTATCAAATTTACATTGAGGTACAAAAATCTAAGCCAATGTAACAATGTTCGAATCAAGCCAGAACAACAATTGAGGCAAAATAATATGAATTCATTATATTTTGTGGTTTCTCATCATTTGCTAACAACCATTTGTGTATAGAAAGGTAACATTGAGGTATGATATAATGTGAAACAAATGACATTGATGAAGGAAAGAATTAGAATGACAAACGATATATATATATGCTAGAAACAGGTCAGAGGTGAAAAGAGGGAGGTTAATCCAGGGTGGGTGGTGTAATAATTTAGTGAAGTTCATAAATTGTGTGATAATTGTAGAGATTAATGGAATTGACTAATGATAAGGTAGATTACGTAATAATAATTAAATAGGGTTTGGAAAGTTAAGATGATTTAAGAGGATCAGGTGGTGGAAATGTGTGAATAAAATTTATTTTAAGAATTAGGCAATAGGGGGGGGGAGTGTAAAATTATCTTAGAATAAGTAAATGAATAAAATAACCAAAACACAAAACAAACAGAAACAAAAGGATTACCAGGGTAGTGATAAGTTTATTAAAGTCTCTTTTTGGATGCATAAGTCCATGTACCTACTAAGTCTGTTCAATAAAGTACACAAAGATATAGAATTTACCATGGAACATGAAGTTGATGATAAATTCCATTTCCTAGATATTGGAATTAGGCGAACATCGGACGGCACACTACAAAGACACATTCACCGCAAAAATACTTGGAGCGGAGTTTATCTCAACTTTAACAGCTTCTGTCCAATGAGCTATAAAAAGGGTATTGTGCGAAACCTTTTTGACCGCGCACGAAAAATCTGCTCAAAAGAATGCCTCGAAGAAGAAATTACTACAATCACCAAATGCCTACGTGAAAATGCATATCCGGATAAATTCATCCACAAATATGCTAATACAAACCCTCCGATTAAGCATGATACAGTTGAAAAGAAAACCTGCTTCCTATCCTTACGCTTCAAAGGAGATGAAGTCCCCGGAATTATCAATCACAGAATTAATTCCGCTTTAAAAGTGACCTACCCGGCAGCCAAAGTGACTACGCTATGGAAAACATACTGTTCACTGAAACAAACGAAAATCGACAAGTCCTCTCCCCTCTGTTGCTCCAACTGCATTTACCAATTCACATGTACGTGCCGTAGCACATACATTGGAAGAACTGAGAGAAGAGTACAGGTTCGCATTTCTGAGCATATTCCGAAGAACTTGACGCTGCGAGGGACTAAAGCTTTTAACAGTGCAATAGCTCGGCATCTACTTGACACCGGGCATACCGTCGATATTATGTGCGCGTTTAAAATTATCAATAGACAAAGAACCACTACCACTCTCCGCTTTGCTGAAGCCATTGCAATTAAGAAACTGAAACCGGACTTATGCATCCAAAAAGAGACTTTAATAAACTTATCACTACCCTGGTAATCCTTTTGTTTCTGTTTGTTTTGTGTTTTGGTTATTTTATTCATTTACTTATTCTAAGATAATTTTACACTCCCCCCCCCTATTGCCTAATTCTTAAAATAAATTTTATTCACACATTTCCACCACCTGATCCTCTTAAATCATCTTAACTTTCCAAACCCTATTTAATTATTATTACGTAATCTACCTTATCATTAGTCAATTCCATTAATCTCTACAATTATCACACAATTTATGAACTTCACTAAATTATTACACCACCCACCCTGGATTAACCTCCCTCTTTTCACCTCTGACCTGTTTCTAGCATATATATATAGTTATTATTGTAATCGCGTTATTTACACTCATTTATGTCAATTGTTTCACACTATCTTCATGTAAAAATTCTATCACAATTTTGGTTTGTAAGCAGCTGTCGAGAAACCTCGAAATAATATGAATTCATACTATTCTGCATCAATGTTTGTTCTTGCTTTATATATATATATATATATATATATATATATATATATATATATGCAAGAACAGGTTAGAGGTCATTTGGAAGTGGAGTTCAAAAACATAGGGGGTGGGTGATGTATTAATTAAATGAGGTCCGGAGACAAATAAGATAGACTTTGTGGTAATTTTAGTTGTGAGAGATTTGCATAAGGTTACTCGAATTAGAAATTGATAAGATGGATTACGTAATAGTTGAACAGGATTCGAAGAGTTTACATAAGTTAGGAGCATTAAGCGAATGAAAACGTATGCGTGAAGAGATGGTTTTGGTGTACAGAAAATAAGAACTTGTTAAGGGAAGGCTGTATAGAAAAATAGATTCTAATGAAATAATGGTAAAGACAAATATAATTTAATAAGGTAGTAATAAGTTTACTATGGACTCTTTCTAAATACATAAATCAGATTTGAATTTTTTTATTTATTGCTATTGCTTCAACGAACCGGAGAGACGTTGCGTTTTTTGTCTGTTAATAATTTCGAAGGTTTGTGGAATGTCAGTGGTATGCTCGCAGCAGCCTCCGCATCGATAGGCCTCCACATTCACAAAGGAAAAAGCAAGATTCTCAAATGCAACACGGAGAACACCGACCCAATCACACACACTACTACGGCCATCATCAGGAAGGTACAAGTATTTGTAAACAGTTGTCTACACAAAATACTCAACATCCATTGGCCGGATACTATCAGCAACAGCGTTTTAAGGGAGAGGACAAACCAGCTTCCAGCTGAAGAGGAAATTAGGAAAAGACGTTGGAAGTGGATCGGACATACATTAAGGAAATCACCAATGTGCATCACGACTCAATCCCTAACTTGGAATCCGGAAGGGAAGCTGAAAAGAGGAAGGCCAAAGAACACACTACGCAGGGAAATAGAAGCCGATACGAAAAGGGTGAATAGTAACTGGAAAGGAAGGCTCAGGACAGAGTTGGATGGAGAATGCTGGTGAGCGGCCTATGCTCCTCCACAAGGGGTAACAGGCGTAAGTAAGTAAGTAAGTGGTTCGGCATCGTGTGTTCGGGCGCAGAGACGATAATTCAATTGGTGTCACCATCTTGAAACACCGACTTCGGTGGCTCGGACATGTTTTACGAATGTCGTCCCAGAGACTTCCGCGTCGTGCATTATTTGCCGACCCTGGGACTGGTTGGAGAAAGCGGAGAGGAGGTCAGTGTATGACATGGTGTCGTGGCATGAAAGAGAGCTGCAAAGGGCTAGCTTCCGTTGGTCCTTCACGACTCCCTGGTTGGGGTCCGAGAGATAGTGCAACACAGTGGCTAGAGACGTTATCGGATATGGCTCAGAATAGAAGCCAGTGGCGATCCTGCTGCAACCTTCTTTTACTTTCTACATAAAGAATGGTTCTAACTTTCCTAACTGAAAGAATCTTCTGGTTGTACATTTCAGCCCGCCTTATCTTTTCATCCTTTATCTACCTACTTTCATTATTTTGTGTGGCGCATATGTACCTGGTGCTCTTTTGTACCAATATATATGTGTTTAAATAAATAATAAATAATAAGTAAGTGGTATGCTCACTGTCAAGTAAATGCCGAACTATTACACTATTTAGAGCCGTTACGCCTCTTAGTAATGAATTCATATTAATCTGACTCAATTGTTGTTTTGGCTTTATTAAAATTCATAAGGGCAACAATGTTTATTTACACTTCAGAAACAATTTTGAAATAGAGAAAATGCATGAACAGTTTCTTTCACATCATCCATAAATAAAGTTTAAGAAGATTTTTGATGAAGTAATAAGTAGTTTTATATAGTTGAAATCATGAGTCAGTTGAAGCTAGACCACCATGGGAAACCTCGAAGCACTTGACGGTCGTTTGGTCCTATTGTGGGACTCCTCAGCAGTGCGCATCCATGAACCTGCCTCGCGAGATTCGAACCCGACTCAGTGGTCTATTGGTTAAGCGTTCGCGCGCGAGACTGATAGGCCCTGGGTTCGTGGATGCGCACTGCTGAGGATTCCCACAATAGGACGAAACGGCCGTCCAGTGCTTTGAGGTTTCCCATGGTGGTCTAGCTTCAACTGACTCATGATCTCAACTATATAAAATTACTAAAAATCTCCACAAAACCCCCTTCTGAAGTAATAAATGTTGTAAAAGAACTATATATTACTTTGTTATATGTAATCTAACGCCATCAGTTCATCTCATCTTTTTTTGTTACAAATTTATAATTTTGTTTTCATCTCATTTGAATAAGAAGTTGTCTTGTGTTACTTTTGTTCTCTGTATTTTTAACTCATTATTTTATTGTTATACTTAGATGCGAATCTAACCTTTAATACATTAAAGCGCATCATTTATTTGTTACATCTGATTATTCATTGTGAATTTCGAACTGTTGTTAGGTGGTTGATATGATCCTGTGAAATAAAATTTATACCTTGTTCTCTATACAACTGTCGCATACCGAAATCTAACGATTTCGTTGAAAGTTTTAGAAAAATATAGCCATACATATTCACTGGAAACTTAATCAGTTGTAGCAATACATTATCATAAACTTACAAAGCTCAGTCACAAGCATAGGATGATTTTGTTCAGTCGTGTTTAAATGATCTAAAAGCAATTAATAGAAAATAAAATTAGCCAGTAAGGATAAACATGAAAAGTCACTATTGAACAGTACACTTAGATGAATGGCAGCTACTGACAAAAATCACTGTTTTTAACTATGTCCTATTTCAGTAACATAAATTGTAAATGAGAGATTTCTTAGTTTGACAGAGCGTGAAATCAAAGTAAAGCATAATATAAGATGTAAAGCAATGTATTACGATATTAAATTATCGCACCAATGAATTGAAAGCGGTTTTAAAAGTTTTAAAGCTGAAAGCTAACAAATAATAAACTAAAGTCATTTTATAATGAGGAATCTGATTGCAAGAGACTTTGATTACAGTTTGACAATGCATTCGATACAACAATGAGATTCAGAAATTATATGTTAATAAAAAATCATCAAATAACATTGAAACTATAATGGCAAACTGTGGTAAGTAAATCTGTTGAACTTAATACATATCATAAAGTAATCATTCATTGGTAAATAACTAGTACCTTGCTGTAGTTCTTAACTATAACTGAAGTGAAGTGTGGGAACTTGACATTATAATCAATAACCTAAGTAACTCAACATTTCTATTCAGTTTACCTAATTTCGAATAGCTAGAAGCTATTTATTAGAAGATTAATTCCACGGTTTTGTATTCACTGGCATTTAAAACCCGCAGTAAATTCTTTCACTTTGAATTACATGGTTTTAAATAGAAGAAACTTTGTAGCTTTTCAAAAAAATATCCACAACTTATGGCAATGTGTGCCAATTAATAAATATGAAAACTCAATTTTAAAAGTTCTCAATAGACTATTTGTTTAAAAAAAACCTTGTATATTAATTAGAATATGTAAAGCTAAAACTTGAGAAAAAATGTTTCACTTACTTGTTTTATGTGCATCAGCTAACAATTGACGAATATTCAAAGTGCATAAGATACTTTCTTTATCTATCATTAATGATGGCTTTCCAGAGATATCAAATGAGCATGAAAGTACAACACAAGTTGAACATCTTTCAACACCTGCAGCTCGAAGATTTGCTCTGTTTAATGGTGATCCCTAAATTGTACAATAAAATTAATTAAAGGATAAGAATAATAAGGTTTTATAAATTTTTGAATAGATATGTTAATAACAGGTTTTCTGGATACAAAAATAATGAATCATATTTTACAAAGTTATAAAGAATAACGGCTACTTTGGCATAGATGGCAGACACATTGTATTTGGTGATTAAGGATAATCTTATACTAGTTTTCCTTAGCTCTTTGAAACATAAGAAGATATACTTTGGTAACTCGATGTTTCCATTATTTACCCTGATTTGAGTGGTACTACTTCACAGTATGTTATTATTTTCTAAAGAAACGATTTTATAAATCACATCCAGTTCACCAAACTAATTACAACATAGAAATATTAGTTTTGATAAATATGGTTTATCAGGTAGTAAGAATATAGCATAAATCATCCTAATTATTACATATTTAAAAATAAAACGGTCAAAACTTCGCTTTTGATAGCTACTAACTGCATATATTACAACTGGCAACTTGAAATGTTAATCTGCAGCATAATATGATCAACATTATAGGCTCCACAAAAAGTAATTTTTCAATAACATTACAGGAAGAGTTAACATCAGTGTACGTCCATTACTATTTGTGGTACTTTTTAAAACTGTGGACAGAAGCTTTGATATTATAAGCTCAAGCCACATATCCTAAATGATGCTTTTTTATCAGACAAATCAAAGCACTGATGTGTTTTGTGAAATTGTTATCTAGATAAATCAATTTGGTCTCATTGGGTAAGGAGACCCCTGAAGGCTTATCAATAATACTGAGATTATTCATTAGGAATTCCCCATATCTTGGTGTGTTTACAGCAGATATCTTCCAGTTTATACTAAATATTCATGTAGATTCCAATTCTTCTTTAAGGACGAACATCTTACCCTATGCGAGATAGTATACCATGTACGAATCCTTAAAAAGAAAATTATCGGTTGTTTAACTTAGCAAAGAAAAAGTTATTATCAGATGGTCATCGATTTTAATCACATTAACAAATAATAAATACGTGTTTGTCTTTAATAAAAGATAAGTAGAGACGAATATAGTGCTTAATGTTGAATCGCTATCTAATACTGAAGCCGAAGAATATTAAATATTGGTAATAAACCCTACATAGGATATTATCCACATTTATATACGATGATGTCTTGACAAAGTTAAATAGAAACTTTCTTCTTATACTTTAACAAAACTGACGGGATAACCAGATTAAATTGACAGATGTGTGCAATATTGGAAAGACATTCATAGAAAGATCAATGAAAACTAGAGTATATTAGTTCCTTATTAATTTAATGATTGAAAAATACTCAGCATTGTGTAATACAACAGTTATCAATGTCTTGTTGGCTCTGGATATTTGTACTCTGTTAATTGGTATTTACCAATAATGAAGGCTGTCTGTGAATAAACCAGACCACTAGATTTTTATTATGACTAATTTACAATAGTTATGTGACATTCTGAAAAAAAATTATCAAAGACTGATATTTTTTGGATAAACTGACTTACTGAAAAGACATAGATATTTGGAAGGTTTTTTAGCGATCGCCATTCATTTTCAATAACTTTGGCTTCACACAAAATAATGATTGGTTTCAATTCTTCGACCGGTATCGAAGTTGATCTGAGTGGAAGTACAAAACTAGCTAAACCTGTTTTTATTCCTTTAGGTTGTTTCATGATGCATACAATGATATGATTTTCAAACTGACGGCGAATCATCTCTTTCATCGTCTGGAAAGGTAGATAAATTCCTTAGCTATTTAGTAATTTAAACTTATCAAGAGTGATTAGACAGAGAATTGTCTGATTTCAAAAAGTATAGAGCTATAATCCCAGTATGTGGCTAATCTTTGCAGTATTTACTTTTAATGATTAAGAATTCCTAACAAGAACAATAGATGTCGAAAAATGTCTTACTTCTGATGACACCGAGTTAAAAAGATTTATCAAGTGATCGAGATCTGTTTTTCCGATTGAACGGGCTTGCCAAAAATGTAACATTTTTCTACTATGATTAGATCAAATACCGTTGAGGTGTGTGGTAACGCATAACTATAAACAAATAACAAACGAGAAGGTAGTTCCAGCAATAATTTTCAGAGATGTACGTACTGAGTGAGTAAAAAGTTGTCTGTAATTTATATGCATGAACCATTATACGACTTTATATCTTTTTTCTAACTACATAGAATTGAATAAAATTTAATTCTGCAAAAGTAGACCATAAAGCTCAATAACTGCAGTGAATGTATAACCTGATTAACCTTTAAGTTTCGTGGCTTATTTGTTAGATGATTGCATCTGTAACGTAGAAGCAAGCAGTTCCTCCGAAGATTAGTCGCTGTTCTTTTGGTACTCAGAAGATTGCATTTTAACGAGAATAGTTTTTGATTAGGTTGATTAAAGCTCATGTAGAGTTAAAATTAACTGCCAACTTGGTAAGACTTTCATCCAGTGAAGTTTACGTCTATAAACACTAACATAATTCACAATCACCTTAAAAAAGAAGTAGTAACTAATGTACATATTTGTAAACATTTGGTTTGAAGCATTGTTTAGTGGATATAATCAAACAATAATGACAATGTCTTGAAGAAACTAGTACAGGAAATATTGAGAAAATTGTATAAAACAATCAGATAAGAGAAACAATTAGATTTATTTTATTTTACTCACCAAACATATGTTTGAAAACTTTCTTTCAGTTACCCAATAAAATAAACCGATACTATCACATTGCAAATCGATTACATTCAGTTTTTGTAGTTGCGCTAAATCAATTACTGTACTATCAGGATACGGATAACGATAATAAGAATTTATTGAAAAACTACTTGCACATGTGGGAACTTTTGGTAATATTTTGGAGGTCCTAAAGTGTAATTTTTGTTATCCATAAAAGTAGAAAGTAAATCAATAAAACAAGTGATTTAACTTTAAAATTGAAATTCACTTATGGTACTTTAGGAATTTTTTAAAATTGTAATTTAGAACAATAGAACATTTACAAGATGAGATTTTCTATAATTTTTAATCCAATAATCTAGAACTATTTTAATAGACAATACTTGATAGCTTAAACGAAGAATGAGCACATTAAATCTTTGATATTTTTCAAACCTGTGGTGGTTGAAGCTTCTGATTCAGGTCCTAGTTCATTTAGTTAATAAATTGTTCTAGTTGATTTCACGATTTTTGATGATAATAGAGTATACCAGCCTACTTAACCTTGACTTTCTGTTATTGTTTCATTCTCCTATTGTATGACAATGATTATCGCTAACGAATACACTGGTGCTAACACACTTCTCGTTTTCCCTTAATCAACTACCACATTAATGAATCTCTAATATGATTGCTATAAACTTTTATTGATCACATTGGTATCCTCATTATTTGATTAATTCTGATATACACTATATTGGATTTTATATATATATATATATATATATATATATATATATATATATATATATATATATATATATATATATATAGAATTATTGATTACTAATTATAATTGTGGATTACGTGACCAAAAAAACGATCGCGTTTCCAGCCGACAATTAAAGTAACGTTCAACATTCTTATCTATGTATTTATACTTTTGCATATTATTAATTGTCTTAACACGTTTTGTCTTAACACTTTATCACTATTTCTGTATTACCAATGTTGCTCGGCCACAACTTTTAGTGAACGTGGAAGAGGATATAGATCATTTGGTCTTTCCATAAATTATTATGAAAAATCTTTTCGAATGGGCCTATGACAGTACAAGTAACTCTAAAACAGTTTATTGGACATAAGTATTTGACACCATAGACTGATAAAGAAAAGTGTAATATCTGACACCAAGAATTTCATCACACCTGCTGAAAAAGTTCATTTGATATTTCATAACGTTCATTCAGAATCCACAGAAATTTAGCTTACGAACCCGATTACCAAGTGTAATGCTGCTTAGTTTATAGTTGTGGCCAATTTTAATTATTTTATAATTTGATAATAATACAGTTCACCTACTGCTATTAGTTTTTAAGGTTTATCCACATCTTTTACAAAAAGTGTACTTTCGATAGCTCTAACCTATGTTACTCAGCACAGAACTTGCGTAAGTAAACCCCTGCTGGACTAGGTTATCTAAATCGGTTGGTAATAAAATAATAATTGACTATCATTTTAAACGTCGGACGGAATTCTATGAAAAAAGCTTAATGGCCTAAGGCACACAATATTATAAATCAATTGAGTTCGATTTGGCTAGTCACAGGAAGAACTGAATCTTTTGAGGATATTTTATCCAATAAGATGGATGACTTCACTTAACGTTGATGTTTTCAATGACTCTTTCAATGGATTTATTTGGGAAATGTTTCATACTCTGTACAGTCGTAAACTAAGTTTATCCTGCATAAAGTATATAGATGTGGAAATCTACTTAAATGACACTGTGGGTAACAACAGATAGAGATCTTTATTTCACTAATAAGAAGATATTTCTGGTGGAATATATAGATTCAATGAGTGTTTATTTGATGAAGCGAATAGAGCTGATATACTGTTTAAGATCTTGAAGGTTTCCATTTAGCTAACTTAGAGAGTTATACAAATTAAGGAGAATATGTTCTGAGATTAGCTCAAAAAGTAACAATCTATAACAACTATAGTGGTATGCAATAACCAACCTTTACCATTTTCTAAGCAATTTTAATGATCTTTTAGAATATCTAGTTTTTAGACATTTTATTGGATGTTTTCTAGTTATTAATAAGTATGTACTATATTTAATGAATTCTTAATATATCTGTAAAATATAATGAAAATGTTTATAATCAGAAGGGGTTTTGTGGACATTTCAGTATTTTCATAGTGGAAATCAAATTCTTATAGTCAAAATATTACTTTGGGTAATATTATTTTGTTTCGTCGACAATGTACATTAATTTCAAGCCAATCAAACTTAAGGTTGAATAACTTATGAAAAATGTAATGTATTTTTATTTGTTATTTCCTAAGGCCTCTTAAAAATAAAATCATATCAACTTCTCAGTACCCAACTTTAAATTCCTTGTCTTTGGGATTAATATATTAGTTCTAACTCACTCTACTGAATAATAAAAACGGTAATATAATCATAACTTTTCATATGACGAAATATAGTTTGTCGTCATCATAGAAGCTAAAGATTCACAATAACAACAATGTTCTTTGATTTACAGTTACTATCAGTCTGTTATTAAATATTGATACGTTCCTGGAGGTATCAGTTTGAGATTAAATTCTTCCTAGATGAAATATAAAGAATTCATTGATAAAAGTAAACTTATATAATTCAAAATTATTATAGGAATCACATAAAATATTCATTCTTAAATAATATTTCAGTATAAAATGTTTACTTACCTCATATTGCAGTAAGTTACAATTGGTTGTCGAAGAAAGCTAAAACACATTTGAATTGTTTTAATAAAACTTGTTGCAATTGGGGAAAGTGTCTTTGACTGTTCGCATATATTATCTACAAAGTAGGTTTAATTTACAGTCAGATTCTTCAATGTCTTGTTAGAACACTTAGAATAGATATCTATTGTTTTAAAACTTGTGGAAAATTATTTCAAATAGTTTTTGTACGATTATGACACTCATTGAAAAGAATTCCTTCACTGAACTAAACTATTTAAAATAACAGCATAACCCATTATAGGAACAAACAAATTATTAGAAGTTACGTGGTTCTTTTGTAGACGTTAGCTTTGCATGACAGGCTCTGCACCATTGCCAAGTTTTTGGACTATATAGGATAGGTATTATCTAGTTATTTCCATTTCATGATACAAACTTTCTTCAATTAGGTCAACTTTAAGGAAACATTTTGAGCAAATAACAACATTACTTCTTAATTAAGCTAACTAGCATAAGTTATCAGAAAATCACTTTATGTATACTGGGATAAAGAGTGAAATTAAAATGAAAGTATGGTGTGTGCTACTTATATCAACATAAGTAGTATATGACGATACTCAGGAATAGAATGTCTGGCAACAGAAGGCAAGAAGATCGAGAAGAAAACAACAGGAATAGAAAGTAATTGGTATGAAAATGCAGGAACAATGAAGTCTGAGATGATTGAATGATATTTAGAAAAGGAACAGTCAAGTTTTGTAAATTAAATATTTACTGTATGGTTCTCCGATCTTTCTAATACGTTCTGCAATTTCATGCTCAAATGCATTCGATTGTCTCCATTTGTGTCTTTATTCACTACAAAAGTAGTATTGCATGATAGCAACCAATAGGCAACCTACTTCTACACAGAAGTGATACTTAATGTTATTCAACTTAGGCAGCTATTTCGATAAGTTTGTTATCTGATTTTAAAATTTTAACTTATATACTTACCCTGATTTCGATTAAGTGGCGAAAATATTACTTGGCCAAAATTATCGAACATCATTTGACCATCGGTTGAGAAAGTCCTCAAGCTGATTATAATAAAAAATATCATAATGATAGGAAAAACATTATTCAGTAAATGAAATGACGTACTGCTATTGTTCCTATTTTCCTACAAAAACTTCCAAGCAGGGATAAACTGTTATTACTTCACAGTTAGTAAGATATTGTTTTTAAAAATTATTAAAAGAAGAATAAGATTGAAGAAAGATTGACGTACTGACGAATTTGAAAAATGAGGTTTGCTGTTCAAGTTTCAACATAATTTTAGTATAGTCATCAAATTCTTTTGGAATCACAAGAACTTTTCAGGATAGTCGATGTAGTAACCGGAATAAAAAGATTTCCAGGAGAAAAAGTAGTTACTATTGCATAACCTAGTGTGCAATCCAGATCAACTGCTTGGTAAAGTAAAATATGCGGTGACAAATTCTATCATATGCACTGTGTTGTAAATCTAGTACGTCCATTTACAATTTAAATCCTCAGAATATAAATAAGATAACACTCGAGGCGATGCATGAAAATAATTTGATAATCTATTGGAGATCACTTCTATGTTAGTTTGTATTTCATAAACTGTAAAACACGACAATGACCAGGAGCATCGTTATGATATCACGAGAAGCTACAAAGTGTTTACTTAACACATATACGTAGCATTCAATCGTCCATTTTCATCTTCCGTTGTGTTCTGCAATCCAAACTGTTTTCTCGATTGGCCTCCAAGTGTTCTGCCAACTCCGTGCTTTCTATGCACGGAAACTTTCCACTCTATCTAACAACTGTTGCAACCTCGACACCATGTTCCGCCACACACAAGAAACAAAGTATATGCTTGCCAGCAAATTTAAATTTCAGTTTTAATTTTGAATAAAGGTTAACAGGTGAGTAAATTCACAAAGAAATGATTTACCGTTGTGCTTCGATCAAATTTTTAGCCAAAACAACTGCACGCATTCGGTAGGTATTAATTCGTACCCGCACACCTGGATTGATAATCATTTGAGTTTTCTTATCATTATTGGTATAAAATTGTACAGCTAACAAAAGTACACCGAAAAACTCCATAGCTAAGCTAAATGTAAAGGCAGTACGCAAATCCATAAAACGCAATACTCCGAGTAGAAATGTATGGGCAAAAATTATTATCTAAAGTTATCTTCTACTGAGTTGATTAATAGATGCTTTTCATCACTGAACGACCACTGGAAAATTTGTTGTTACTCACTGAAGACAGTGAAAGATGGTCGCGCAATATTGTGGATTGATCAGTGATCTAGAGGCTGTGTTCGCGCGCAAGACCGAAGGTCCTGGGTTCGATTCCTGTATGAGGGGTCGTGAACACACTCCTGGGGAGCCCCATACCAAACGACCGTCTAATGCTTCGAGGTCTCTAACAATGGTCAGTTCGTGATTTTCGTGGGAAGATCATCTCTGCGGTTTTTTCCGTAAAATGAGTACCTTTACAACCCTCTTAGAAAATCAATTACCAACCATCCCGTTGACTATTGACAATATTCAGAAGACAAGCAAAACAGGGGTTTTTCCATTTGTAGGGTATGTTTTAAAAATTGGAAGTTGATCATTTCAAAACATGGATAGAAGTTATTAATTAGTCGATAAAGTAACGAAAACAGCGCTAATCAAAAATTCATTTGTTCAAACCGACTGTCTAGAAAGCCAACTGTATAATATCTAATTATCACTGCCTAAAGTAAATTTATCCCCAGCATATCTCGTTTTGTTGTAAAACGTCGTGATGTATTATTATTCACGGTATTGTAGGTGTAATCAAAGAAAATGTTAAAGTTGGACAAATTCTGAAATATTTGGCACAGTATGTTTCAAGCCCACGACATTAAAATATAAGACCTCAACAATGATGTGTTACTGTATATTAACTCCGCCTGTAGCTCCTCTGGGGGTTACTGCCGGTCCCAAGCCCTGGCAAAGGAGGAGGGTTGGACATGGGGTTAGCGACCCCGTTCCGTAGAAAACCAACTCGCTAAAAAAACGCTAACCAGAAAAAAATATTCAAACTTTTTAAACTCTGCCCTGGGAGTAGAAGGAATAATTATGACGTCTCATGATGAAAGCCGAAATTTTTCAGACGTCACGAGGCTGATGCACCTTCTAACAACCAGAGCGACAATTTTTATAGGTACATGGAATCAGCGAAACACATTGGAAGCAGGTTGGACAACAACGACTGTCTTCAGGGGAACTTCTGTTATACTCCGGTCATGAAGAAGGAAATGCCCCACATACACAAGGAGTTGCATTGATGCTGTCCAGAAAAGCACAAAATGCACTTATAGGATGGGAATCTCATGGACCAAGGATCATCAAAGCCTCCTTCAAAACAAAGAGAGAGGGCATTACAATGAACGTCATCCAATGCTATGCGCCTACCAACGACTGCAATGAAGATGCTAAAAACCAATTCTACGATAGGCTGCAGTCGATCTTCGAGAAGTGCCCAACCAAGGACCTGACCATTCTGATGGGAGATTTCAATGCCAAGGTTGGAAAGGACAACACTGGATACGAAGACGTCATGGGACGACATGGACTGGGAGAAAGGAACGAAAATGGTGAGAGATTTGCAAACCTATGTGCCTTCAATAAACTGGTCATAGGTGGCATCATATTCCCACACAAAAACATACACAAAGCCACTTGGATTTCACCGGATCACACTACACAGAATCAAATCGACCATATCTGCACCAACAAAAAGTTCAGGAGGACGATGGAGGATGTGAGAACCAGAAGAGGAGCTGATATAGCATTCGATCATCATTTGCTGATCGCCAAGATGAAACTAAAACTCAAGAAGCACTATACAACGGGGTGGACAGCATCACAAAAGTTTAATACGGCCTTTCTTCGAGATGCTGACAAACTCAACAAATTCAACATAGCCCTCAGCAACAGGTTCGAGGCCTTTCATGATCTACTCAATGGAGAGGGAACTACCATGGAGAGCAACTGGAAAAGTATCAAGGAGGCAATCGTTTCAACATGTCAGGAGGTTCTGGGCCAAAAGAAGCACCATCACAAGGAATGGATCACTGTTGGTACACTGGATAAAATTGAAGCAAGGAGGAACAAGAAGGCAGCAATCAATATCAGCCGAACAAGAGCAGAAAAAGCCAAGGCACAAGCCGAATACACAGAGGCAAACAAGCAAGTGAAGAGGAGCATCAGGACCGACAAACGTAAATATGTGGAAGATTTAGCGATGACAGCGGAAAAGGCTGCAAGAGAGGGAAACACGAGACAACTATATGATACAACCAAGAAACTTGCTGGAAATTACCGTAAGCCAGAAAGACCAGTGAAAAATAAGGAAGGCAAAGTAATCACCGACATTGAAGAACAACGAAACAGGTGGGTAGAACACTTCAAAGAATTCTTGAATCGACCAGCTCCACTGAACCCACCCAACATCGAAGCAGCACCCACGGACCTCCCAATCGATATTGGCCCACCAACAATTGAAGAGATCAGCACGGCCATTAGACAAATCAAGAGCGGCAAAGCAGCGGGACCAGACAACATCCCGGCAGAGGCACTGAAAGCAAATGTAGCAGCAACTGCAGAGATACTCCACATTCTCTTCAGTAAGATTTGGTATGAAGAACAAGTACCAACAGACTGGAAAAAAGGACTTCCGATCAAGATACCAAAGAAAGGCGATCTGACCAAGTGCGACAACTACAGGGGCATCACTATTCTCTCAATACCAGGAAGTCTTCAACAGAGTATTGTTAAACAGGATGAAGGATTCCGTGGACGCTCAACTTCGAGATCAACAAGCTGGATTTCGTAAGGATAGATCGTGCACAGATCAAATCGCAACTCTGCGGATCATTGTGGAACAATCAGTCGAATGGAACTCATCACTGTACATCAACTTCATCGACTACGAGAAAGCATTTGATAGTGTGGACAGGACAACACTATGGAGGCTTCTTCGACACTACTGCGTACCTGAGAAGATAGTCAATATCATACGGAACTCCTATGATGGACTAAACTGCCAAATCGTCCACGGAGGACAACTCACCGACTCGTTTCAAGTAAAGACTGGTGTTAGACAAGGTTGCTTACTCTCACCGTTTCTCTTTCTCCTGGTCATCGACTGGATCATGAAGACGTCAACATCTGGAGGAAATCACGGGATACAGTAGACAGGCAGGATGCAGCTTGACGATTTGGACTTCGCGGATGATCTGGCTCTTCTATCACAAACGCAACAACAAATGCAGGAGAAAACGACCAGTGTAGCAGCAGCCTCAGCAGCAGTAGGTCTCAATATAAACAAAGGGAAAAGCAAGACTCTCCGATACAACACAATATACACCAATCAAATTACACTTGATGGAGAAGCTTTGGAAGATGTGGAAACCTTTACATACCTGGGCAGCATCATTGATGAACATGGTGGATCAGATGCAGATGTGAGGGCGAGGATCGGCAAAGCAAGAGCAGCATACCTACAACTGAAAAACATCTGGAGCTCAAAACAATTGTCAACCAACACTAAGGTTAGAAATTTTCAATACAAATGTGAAGACAGTTCTACTGTATGGGGCGGAGACGTGGAGAACTACAAAAGCCATTATCCAGAAGATACAAGTGTGCATTAACAGTTGTCTACGCAAGATACTTCGGATCCGATGGCCAGACACTATCAGCAACAAGTTACTGTGGGAGACAACAAACTAGATTCCAGCGGAGGAAGAAATCAGGAGGAAGCGCTGGTAATGGATTGGGCACACCTTGAGAAAATCACCCAATTGTGTCACAAGACAAGCCCTCATATGGAATCCTGAAGGTCAAAGGAGAAGAGGAAGACCAAAGAACACATTACGCCGAGAAATAGAGACAGACATGAGAAGAATGAACAAGAACTGGATAGAACTAGAAAAGAAGGCCCAGGACAGAGTGGGTTGAAGAAAGCTGGTCGGCGGCCTATGCTCCATTGGGAGTAACAGGCGTAAGTAAGTAAGTTACTGTATATTAGTCTGCTTAACAAGCAGGAAAAGATTAAATATGCTGGAAATAAATTCCTTATTTATACAATAGTGACATTTATTCATAACCACAAAAAGACAATCAACTTAAGATCATTAAGATAGGACGTCAGGATATTTGAATGAATTTGTTAACTGATTTTCATAGTGTTTCAATCAAGTTTTCATTGACAATTAATGTACTCAAACAAGCTTCTAGAATGAAGTAAGAAGATGGCTTAAATTATTCTAAATTAATTCGAAAGAATTACTTTTGTAAAATTATTCAATAATTTTTACATTGTACTGGACTATATGTTAATTCAGTACTATTTCTATTTTAATTATATGAATAAACAAGAATGATAGATTTCTCTTCTCCTAAAGCACCAATATATGTAAAAATATCTAACTTATTCATCAACTAATGATTCACTCACCCAACTAGTTGTTGAAACATCATCCCATCGAAAGCATGAGATAATTTTACTGTATATAATTTATATTTTGTACCTTGAAAGTATTCGTTAATCCAACGAGGTAAAGTCTTCTATCAAAGTGAACAAATGGTAACAGGGATGAATAACTTTATTGTATACCAAACTGTATTAATATAAGGTAATTTAAAGGATTATCATCAAATCTAGTAAAATTATGGACAGAAATAGTCACATTGTTATACCGTCTTTAATGGGCAATAAAAGACTATTCATTTCTTATTTTATTAAGCATTGGAAATTATTCGGTTTCAAATAACCTTTATAATCCATGCAAATCGCTCAGTAAACAAATATGCACGAAGTGTAGTAAAATGTATCAACAGTCGTCAACAAATTAACATTAACTAATCTTATTTACATAATGATCACTGGAGATTAATGAAAAACGAAGGAAAATGAGAAATTAATAATTAATAATGTTAACCGGTAATGGTTTACGACAAATCTGTGATATTTCTCAACTTATCCAATCCTTTAGTGTTTCATAGGTGGGAAAATGATATTTCTACAAGGGTTCACTGAAGTTTTTCCTAATAGGAAGAGACTAAGAATTTTAACTCCTGATTATGAGCTATAAGTTATAAACGATCATGTGTAATGAAAAGTTGTAACTGTCAAGCATGGTTTATTCTGTACAAACTATTTGAAATGAAAACAGGGTTCAGTAAAACTAGCTCAAAGTTAAATAAGATATGCAATATTGTCAGTCACAACTGGTGTACTTAAATTACTTTGGATAATTTTCTTACTAAAAATTAAAGTAAGTATCATTGGTTCATTTTCATTTTAACATTTTTTGAGCAGAAGTTATACAACTCATAGCTTCAAAACCGTTACATCGGTCATTACAGTCAATATCATCGAACGGTAAGGGGTAATAAGTCAAATCAGCACATTCTTCGAGAATAACGAAGACAATTATCTCATATATATATATGAAGTTCGTTGCGTGATAATTAACAGTATTTATCAGTAGGAGTTATCCGTGGAAATGAGGCTGATGCAGTAATGAATATACCGAGTAAATGGAAACCATTTGACAAATTACGTAATAATAGATAATGATTAAAAATTTTACAAAGTGAAGCGGTTAGACAATAATTTCTTAAAAAAAGAACTAAGTGAAAGGTTATGTATCGACATATATTTATACCATAAGTCAATGATAGCAAAAAGAAAATGTAAAACGGAGGATGATAACTTTTGAAAGCTACATGGATTATGTTAACTTCTATGAAGTAAATCATCATAAAAAATAGTACATCCTATGGTGATAGTCATCCATTAGGAATAAGTCTCAAATTCTAGACATGATTTTGTCAGGCATCTGAAGTAAGAAATGTTGTTTCTATGATATCTATCACTTGAAGCATGAACAGCAGGTATAAAACAAACCTTTCAAACTACTTTATGAGTCAGCATCAAGAATAATAAAATATGTAATATTTCAGTTATTAAATCGGTCACTAACCCTAACTGCAGCTGTTGGTACCGAATCACGCATTATAAAATTACATAACAGAGTTGATACCCCATTTGAAACACAATTCAATGCCAGTAGACCAAGTTTCATCTGTGTTAAACAAATAGCTCTATCGAATTGATCACTTTCATACTCTTTCCACCCAGGTATATTCGACATCCATACCTGTATTTTAGAAGATGAATAAAGAGTTCGTTGAAAATACAAATTGGAGATTGATAAAACCAAAACATGCAACTGACATGGAAGTGTATAGATTAAAAAGCACATACTATGAATAAAAAATAGTTAGTTAGTTAGTTGAAACCATTATCTATTTCATACATTTTAATGCTTTATCTGTCTGCAAAACTATGGGTCGATTAGTACGTATTTGTCAAAGTTACCAGGTATCTTAAATATAGTTTGTGTTACGGTTATATGTTTTATGAATGTTTATCTGTGCACATTCCGGTGTGTAACCGTCTGTGCGCTTGCCTATTTTATCCCATTAACTTGGACTACATAAACTTACCAGACGATTTACATAACGACTGATGACTAGATCGATTAATACACCACCCAAAATAATACACTCATCACATAAAGTAAACCATACAACAGGACTTGTTCATTCACTTTCGTTTCTGGTTTGGTCCTCAGATTTGTGATTGAAATATAATATATTTCCTATCTCTTCATATTTCGACCACTTCATTTTCACACTTTCATAAATATTGACTGAGCTGATCAAAAGTTCTGTAGTTCACTTAATTTCAGAGTTTTAATGGTCAATCGTTTGGTAATAATAACACTGATAATCATAAGCTTAGACGTACCTTACTTTCAATTAACATAAGTTCACAAATTATTCGAATATTTGGATATAGATTTTTTATGGAAACAACACACATTAAATTTTTCCAGTCATCTTCAACAGGGGTTTGACTACATTTATTGGATAGAATAATCACAGCGTCAGCAGTTCTCACCTTGAATGAGTAAGTAGTAAAACAATTGATATAAAAAGTAGTATGACACAAATAAATTTTTACACATTTTTCAACATGAATAAAAAACGTGATTGATAAATGCATGACGTTGTTCAGTGAGACTGAATCCAGGAAAATATCTCACTGAGAAGATTTGGATTGTGTTAACATTACAGTCGTGTTTCATATCTATAGTTAGGGTGGATTTTAAGAATGCCCATAACTTGTGACACCCTGATGGGAAAAATCGAGGAATTAAAAAATGGAAAGTAAATTGAAAAGTGTTTCATGTAAATGCTGATTGGATAGACTTGTGGTGAGATTGAAATATGAAACATTTTTAATTATTTCTATTTATACTTATTTCATCGTTATATTCCATAAAATACTGCTTAAAAAATATTGAATTTACTATTACCTACTGTTCAAGTAGTTGTAGTTATGATGATCCGTCCAAATTTCTGGGCATCTTAAAACAATTTAAGACAGGTTAAACCTCAATGAGCCACTTATAACAGCTTCTATCCTGTTATATGCACAAAAACAGTATTTGGAATATTGGGTTGGAGTGAAAAATTAGTATATTGACTTGTAAGCCTAGAGGATCAAAATCCGATCACAAAAACAGGAAAATAACTACAATTTAGTGTTCAACAATAAATGGGGGGATTGCAATAACAGCTAACAGACGTTGGGTTTTTATCTACTGTGACTTCAAAGGTGATTAAATCCTTAAAACAATTAACAAAGATCAAACAATGGAGTACGTAATAGATATTCTGTATCTGAACTAGTTCTATAGTTTTTCCAAATGAATCAAAATCAATAAAGTCCCCATTCTAATGTACGTACTAATCCGTTTAAATTTACCAAAACAAAAATACTAAAGAAGTATTCATTTGAACAACTTAAACATATTTCACATAGTCTATAACTGGGTGAATCAACTGAATCATAGAAATTGTAAAGGATTTCATAGATATAAGACATAATATTCAGTGGTCTAAACAACATATATAACCTCTGGTATCCTGAAGCTATTGATGAAAGGGAAGAGATCATAAAGTTTTTAGTTACTACTTCAGTAGCCCAGTCGTAACTCCCCCGACTATGATAGTGGATGACATTGATTCAGATCACATGAGTAAACTAATCCCTTTAAGGTTTCAGAGACACCATATTGATGAGTTCCAACTAACGTGACACCTAGAAGCAAGGTTTCCTGCTTGTTTCCTCCAACTCCATAATATTCAAACACAGTGGATGCGATGTCTAAATCATTTGGACATTGCAGCCTTATAGGGTTTGATTAATACTTAGGGGTATACGAACATAACATTGTTTACTACTCTGTGGTCGCTCAATGAGACTATACTTTCTGTTACCCCTATCAATTGATATGGTTTTAAGAAAACTATTGATCAAATAAGATATTCAGTTGTAACATGTTGGTATATCTTATAAACTTTATTCAGACCCGTGTGGCACCCAGTTATATTATAGCAACTATCCTACAATCAATTTCGATTATAGCCAATTTTGGTTAAGCCCTTTTTTATAACTTACTTAACAGACATCGTCATTTGGATAGTAACAATTTGCATATTCTTTGCACTGCTATACCACTAGAGCACATGACACTCTAGCCGAAATGTTGACTGCTTAAATATCATTCGATGACTCATACTCCTCCCCATATATGTACGCACGCAAATATTATTATCAGCCTTTGCTTTGCTTTGCTGTGCCCTTATTAAATTTGACTATAAATTGCCTATGTAATTGCTTGCTACTCGCTCGCTTGCTTCTCGTTCGTTTCTTTCGCTTGTTCGCCTGTTCACTCGCTCGTTCAAATTCCCTCAGGTGTTGTTAGCTTTCGAACCTGAGTCATTCGACAATAAACTGTAGTTGCTGCTATCCTTTGTCTTCTGATTTTACGCACCGTTAAGTTTAGAATTCTAACGTTTATCGAAGTAAACGGTTAACGAATCGCGGCACTACAATATGCTAGTAGATTTTATCATTTCCCACAAATAACGTCCTCTAAACGTACCAAGATACATGTAGAATAGACTATAGCTTGGTATTCAAAACTTATCGGTTGTGAATGGTTTGTGAAGGTACAGCAAAGTTACTCATTAAGTATCAAAGCATGGTGTATAAGGCACTGGATTTGCTGAAAAATACTTATGGAAATTGGACTACAGGAGGAAAGTTCGTTGATTTTATTTCATTATTCATCATCCATGTCTAATACAAAACTTTAATATTAGAAGGGCTTAAAGGCGAATCGTGTTTACATTCCTGACAAATAAAACTGTTTAGCTGATACGGAGTGCTCAAGAAATTCCTAGTTATAGCATTAACTTTGTTTCCTCAAAATAGATTAGTGTTACTTTTAGTTATCTGGTATTCATTCGTAGTACCAATAATGTAAAATACCATCCATTCCTAAGTGATATATTTTTGGTCAGAAATGAGACTCAGAATCTGAATATATTGACATGTAACTTTCTGATTTGCTTGAGATGAACAAGCCATATTTTCGGCATTCATTATTCTGGTGGATAATACTGACGTTCTAAGCCCTAAATGTTTTATTCAGTCTCAGAAAGGACACTTGCACCCGTGTAAACCTAGTTGTTTAGTCGAAAACCGAATAAAATTCTTATACTAAATGAGACTTCAATCTTTTAACAGAATACTACATTCTGAATAGGAATCAAATGTACAACATGTTCCTTTTTTCTAAGAGACTGTATTTTCCTATGCTTAAAAAAGCGGTGAGCTCAAAAAAACAGACAAAGTAACTTCATTTTAATAACTAACTTACTTTAGCTCTTTCCAAATCTTCTGGCAATGTCACAGATCCTTTCAAAAATCTCATTGTAGTGCTTTCTCTCTGAAGTAACGCCGTTAGACTAATATCGGGATCGATCCTAGAAGAATTATAAAATAACATTCCTAACTCATAAATTACATAGACTTCAATAATTTTTTACAGGGTAATCGACATTTTTTTTCTTGAATATTTAAAATTGTGCATCCATATTAAGTAGTCTAATGTTTTTTACATTATTTATCTGTTTCTTGTGTATAAGATACACTGCCGAATGACTTGTCTAATAATTTGACATTGGTCGTCACAACGTTTACTCATATTATTTAAATATTACGTCAATGTATCTTATTTGAACGCTTTTCACGATCAGAGCACAAAACAGGATAGTTAATTATTCTTCATTTAAAACAATGATCTTATGTCTTATGTGACATTCAGTGTGGTTCTTTTTTAGCCCGTTTTTATTTTATTTATAGTTTTAATACTTTTTCTACAACCCTATATTATAGACACAGAGTTTTTATTAGAAGCAGTAAATGGAATATATTGGATCACTTGAAAAAATCTAGCTTCATAAAGGTTTCTCGTGATGCTATTTTTGAAAGTCTCGCCGCTGTAGTTTTATTTATTTAACACAAATAATGGTCTACGATAATTCAATGGTAGCCATTTTTCAGTAGTATTCATCGGGCTCTGTTCAGCCCATCGTTGATTATGTGCACAGTGCTTTTTCGTCTGACAAGTGAAGACACATAGTGGATGAAAAAGTTTTGCCTATTTAATCCCGCTATCACTTCAATATGAGCTCCCTATAGTTCTATTTTTTCCAATCAAATATGGAAGTAAAATTCTGATTTTTCCTCTGATTCTAGTGTGGATGGGATCAAATGATGTTATCAGTTGAATCCTTGAAGGCTTTCAATAAGTTTACTGTTTTCAAACATAATGCTGTTGTCTATAAATCTCTATATAAAGTGAGATTATCGATTTTTGACCAAAGAGTATTATGGATTAGTTCACCTTCAGTAACTATTGGTTTGACACCAATTGCTAACATAGAGTTTTGTCATTATCGCCCATTTGTTTCTATTTCATGACGTTTAAATACATCAAGTAAACAACTAAATATGACACTTTAACCTTTCTGTTTTTTGTTTCGCTTTACATAAATACGTAATCAGTGTTCTATATCCGTATTCTCAATCTTTTCATTTTACCATAAAGCATTCTGTGTATTAAATAAGTAAAAATACAGCTGTGGAAACCTTGGAAATAGCATTGTGGTAGGAAGTGTTTCATTACCAAAATATCTTCATTTTATCTTAGTTAACATGTAAGTTGAAAATTATGTTTTTCGAAATAAGACGGAAATTTCCTATCGATTTTATGAAGTTTTGATGTCGAGACTATAATTTATGGACGAACCAGTTATGTATAAGATAACAGGCCTCGGATTTTTACGTGAAATTCACTCATTCATTTGACTAAATAGAGTTTTGGCATTATAGCTGATGTCAGTTCGTTATGGAAACCCTAAATCGAATTCCTAACCTTGACCATCAACTCTAAATCATAATTCTATTTCCTCACATTGGTTTGTAACCCTCATCTGGTCCTAGTTATTAGGTGGACACTCTCATGGTGAGTTTAGCGTCACTTAAAGGTCGTCCATAAATTATAGTCTCACCGTTTTATTACAAGTGTTTTATTGGTCAATCAATCGATAGTAAGCGATAAATGTTTGTTATCGTCACTGAACTAATTATTCACAGTTATAACTCAAGATACTTAAGTTGTTTGATGAATGAATGCGCCTCGCAGTCCAAACGTAAGATTTGATTTTCATGCTATGATCAGTAACAGTATAAGTTGCACTGCATTATTAAGATAATCAGAGACTAAATCATCTCAGCTTAAGTTGATGATATATTATTATACACAACTGCATACTATCATGAAAGCCCTTAATGTTGGCCATCAATGACTTAATACTCCTCTGTATTAGCAGTTGTTTAGTCTGTAGTGAATTGTAACAAAAATGATGTTCAGAGTCAAAGCACTTTATCTATTCCTTAACAACTTGGAACTTAATTCTTTTCATTTTAAATAAAAACATTCAAAGTAATCTGTTGATTTCCTCCCGTCTAATTTTTATTTAATTTTACGTCGTTAACCGGTTATAGCTGCAAACGGATAAAGAATATTTTTAACGAGGAACTAGGTTTTTGAGCAATTTGATTCAACAACTCATTATATTTCTATTTCACAATCACAAATCAGTCAGAAAATACAACTTTAATATCCCTTAATGTTGGTTATTGCTCCTTAGGTAAAGTTTTCACTTAACACTCCATCCAACCATAATTAAAAGAATTCTGGAGACTTTAATTTAAAAGAGCGATGGAGGAAGTCAATGTGCAACATTTTCACAATTTAACTTACTCTGACAGGATGACAATCATCATATTTTCATCATAATGGCCTTGATCGGCATTAACATATTCATCAAAAAATATTGAAAGCGTATGGTAATTTATTGATCCACATACAACTATGTGCCTGAGAAGTGAAAAATAGGTAGAAGTCAATATCATAATGCACCAGTTCGATATCTAAAGTTTTTATCAGGTTCAGAATGCACAAGCTATTCGATGAAAGTCATTTTATTTTTAACTGAAGTATCGAGTCTTCAAAAACTTTATCTACCTGTACACATGGTTAATACCGCCGTTATTCAACTCTGTGTAGATACTCACAAAATGACAAACATTTTACTTTTACCTAGGTAGATAAATTAAGAAGAACTCATGAATAGTACTTTTATTTGCTAGAAAACATATTATTCATGCAGTCCTATGTAAGTGTTTAATTCATTTTCATTTGTAAATATATAGATAATCAGACATGGTGGTCATAACTGTGTGATCCGGCTGTCCTATCACTTCAATGTTTATACGCTAAGAAATAAGTGACTTAAGTATATGTCATTTTTGGAAAGGAAACAATTATCTCGTTAAATAAATAAATAAACACCAATTAGAACCAGCTTAATATCAGTATCTAACTAATAGCATTAACGTTCATAAACCTCATAATATTCAGGTAGTGTTTCTTCATGATAGCTGAGATTAAGCATGAAAATTGAAATATTGAGTGTTATACAATATATTCATTGATTCGATTATACTTTAAAGAACACTATAAAACTTGTTACCTTAGTAACTACTTGTTTTTTTATTTAAATCCTTATTCAATCAAGGGGCTATGAAGATAAACCACCAACAATCAATCTCAAAAAATAGCTTCAAAATTGAAAATATGCAAGTCAACGGATTAAGAAAATATTTAACATATATTAAAAGTAGCGAATGAAGCAGCATCATTTATTTAGTTAGCAGAGTGGAGATTACACAATGAAAATACAACAACCCTGTAATTGTTGATGAAGAAATATAGGAGCCTAAAAAATTATGTTTAAGTAGTGTGTGTGAACTGTACACATAACTACCCACTTAGTTATTTGTATACATGAAATCGATGCTAGATAGTCAAATTAAACAAACTTTCATTGCCTAACAATGTGATATTTGTACCAGAGTTTGTGTATCAGACGGTATCATTTTCTATGAAAGATGGTTTGTGGAGATTTGTCTAGTCTGATAATAGTTTTCAAAACATGGTCTCTTAAACTGGAGAATCATCGAAAACCAGGAGATACGTAGGAAATCATCAAACTGAATACAAATCATCCATGTACACAACCATGTATTCACCAATGACTCACTTCGATAAAAATTACTGAATTTTTAGTAGAATAGTGTGACATATAGATGCAGCCAACGCGAAACTGGCTGAACTGGAGAATTATGATTTTCGACTTCCGACCCACTGGCCTGAAAGTGTCACAATTATTGCTAAACTTAAAATTTTTGATTGCAATCATATTTATGGCGCTGACTGTACATGATTACGAAGCTATCAACATCTATCAAATATTCCCTGGTTTCCACTGATTCTTCAAATGATATCATTTTGTTATAAAAATTATGTTTGAAAATATTTGATTTCGGCCACTGAACCTGGAGGTTGATATTATTCAATTAAATAACCATCTGACTAAAATCTAAAGAGTCAGATTAAATTTTATAAATATCTAATTTGTAACCTTTACCTTGGCTACTAATTTTAAAAATATTTGATTTCAAATTCATGTAAACATGTTTATGTACTAACTTTAACACAGTTAAATACTAACGGTATTACTACACGTTGCGAGTTGTCTTTCGTATACCCAAAAAAACCCCTTGAAACGACAAGATTCATATGAAATGATTATCATGATAGTTAGATGAAAATAAGTCTATTTGATAAAACAATTAATCATCACTCAGTCAGTTATAAGCTAATTTAATTAATTATGTGGTAGGTACTAACTCAGTAACAAAAATAACATGGTCATTTCAATACAGTTTCTTCAGTTTAATGTACCATGGTTAAATTTTAGGTGAAATAGGTCAACATGTGACAATTTAATTATCTTTCATTCACTAATCACTTGCTTTCAATTGTTATTAATAAAACTCAACACTGAAACATGAAGGCTAATTAAAACCGATTTTTTTTTGGTTCTTTTTAAAGTTTCAATCGATAAGCACTTTATGCTAAAAGAGATAATAGTCAATCTACCAGAAAAAAAAGCTTTAATAAGATATCTCACATAACGCTTGTTATTTGGCTGTTACATAACTCTCAACCAAATATGTTGAGTAATCATGAAGAGAACAGATGTATAGGATTTCATGTACTTCTTTTTTCCATTCATAAATTTGACTAAAGCAAGAATAAGAAACGTTGTAGAATAATATGAATTCATTTATTTTGTGATTACCATTCTGTTGTTTACTATCTAGAGACAACATTGAACCTAGTATGTATGTACATTGGTTTAAATTACCATATACCAAATCATTATGTATTTTATTGATTTGAACACATAAATATTGGTACAAGGAAGCACCAGATATATATGCGCCACACAAAAATTGTCATTTCATTTGATTGTATGAGGGCAGTGATACTGACCAGGTGCACAGACCGAAGCAGGTGATTTTCTTAGGGGACCACACCCCGAGCCTTTGACCTAAAGGTCTGATTCACAAGGCAGTGGAGCATCGTGAGGAGATGCAGTCCCATGGTAGCCGGTGACTAACGATTGATTCCTACGCCATATGTTCCCTCAGGATACTGGAGTCCATGTGCACCATTGGATTGGAATCAGGGTTTTCCAACTCCCCTAGGTGAAATTTCCGTGTCCACCGATCCGGTTAAAGCACCAGACATTCGCTTTTCATCCTCTTAGTTTCGTAGACAACACCCTCAACATGAGAAGGCAGTGAGTAGGACTTCCCTGACAAAGGCTATATCTGCGTGGTCATGTGAGAGCATTCTGAGAGGGAGAGTGGACTCTCTCCACTCTTGGCCGTACCAAGACATTTGGGGTGCTTTATATTTTATTAATGGAGATTAATAGAATGAAAACAACAAGTACGGAAGATCAATATTTATGTGTCAGCAAATGTGAAAATTTTAGAAAAGTAACTATAAAACACGTAGAGATACATTATTAGACAATTCAAATGATAACTAATGTCAAAAGTTACGTAATAACAATGATAATTGTGAAACTGTTTACATTAACAGTGTAATGTGTAAAGTTGAAGAAGTGAATCTAACATTTTATAGTTTTTTTTTCATTCTTATTGTCGTTATTTCTATTATTATAAAGCTTGTATATTGGTTGTAAATAATTATTACTATTTTTCCTAGGCCTTAGACAGTTGAATAGAAACATCTTATTCTACCAAGTGTTTTTTATTCTTGCTGCCGTCAAATATATGCAAAAATCATTATTAAGTAATCTCAGTAATTCCCACATTGTTCGGACGTTCCATGTACCTATAAAAAGTGTTGCTCTGGTTGTTATCCCTTTCGGCCTATGCTCCTCCACGAGGGGTAACAGGCGTAAGAAGAAGAAGAAATCTCAGTAATTGAAGCTGAAATAATTCCATATCATATCTTCTATATAACTAGCTCCTAATTTCTATCAAACTGTCGGTTCAAATTTTGATGAATCTTCATTTCGAAAAAGAGAACATAATTAATTATCTTCTTATTGGACCAAAAGATATTTATACCTGAATCTACATTGTTTTAGTCTTTCTGTAGAACTATTATTAAAATTCATTGTTTTCATTTTTATGTTGATCAATAACATCTCAATGGTGTATTTGAACATTCATTAAATTCTGCCGAACGTGTTTCTTACAAATATTAACAGAAATTTAATTAAATAAATCAATACTGATATTATGATAATACATGAATGAGTTTCAGTTCCATAGGGGTTTGGATTCTAACCAAATGATTGATAGATTTTATCTCTAATATTTACTTTCAACTTCGATTTTCTAGTAAACCATTATTTGATTTTGGATTTATAGACAAATCACAGTCAGTTCCCAAGAGTCTAGTAACCCGGGTTTAATCTACACAATAGTCTAATGATTTAGGTCGCTATTTATCGAATATTTCGATAAATTGTGAGTTTTATTTGCAATTGACAACTTGGTCTACAGATATGTTAGTATTAACTACATGAATATTTTTCTAAAGTTTACCCAACCTATCTATTTTTAGTTTGAATCTGTTCCGAAAACTTCTGCAGAAATTACGTATCAGAATCCGATTAGTTTTTATAAGAGATTTAAATATTTGTGTTTAATCATACCTGACAATAAAATCACGGCGATTTTTTCTTTAGCCCTGACGATAAAGTTTCAGGATATGACCATAAATATTTAATAAATATCAATTGCTTTAAATGATATCAAAATATGTCCTCAGTCTGTTTAAGTGTACATTCTTTTCGCCCAAATATTATAAAGACAACACATTGAAAAACAAATTATCTTTAGTTGTAACTATGTTTCGAACTTGAAGCTAAACAAGTGATAATGTAATTATTAGAGTTAGATGTTATTAAAATGGTAATCACTACATAAATGATTGGCGACAGTTATAAGGATTGCAAAGCGAAAAGGAGTAAAAGAACTGTTCATTAATGCGGGGCAGATGTGAATAATACATTGACACCACAGTTGCTTTAATGCTATCACTAATACACATTAACAAGTATGATAAATATGCTGTTTTCTCTTCTTGTTTCTTGTATTAGTTCGAACTAAATCTCATCGATCACTGTATGTGAAACGTTTCATAACAATATTACTAATGTAAATTAAGGCTGTTTACAGGTGATGAGAAAGCTCGAAATTTAATGACTTTATGGTATTCTAAAAATCTTGCTCTTCTCACTTTATTCAAATTTATCAATGGATTAGGATGTATGTAATGATAATAATAATGGATAAAATAAACGAAAATACGTGAATAATAATAATATTTAAATAAGATGAACCTAAACTACGGAAATATGGGAAAGAAGATTTTATGTGTATTAGTTAAATTAGATCATCCTATAACCAGGATGACTATAAGGTTATTGGGTCTAAAGTTAGTCATGGTAATAAGAGCTGTTGAACACATACCTTTTGTATACAATGATCCGGTTTTCTCACTCAGATAGCTACTGTTCTTACCGTTTGGAGTACTCTGAGTGGAACAGATTTCAGCAAATAATTAATCACATGATAGATGACTGCATGTGATTGATTAGCGCTGAATATATAACCGGTTTTCATTACATTGGCTAGGATCAAGTTGTTGACTGTTTTTACTACACCTTTACTAAGCGACGCTGAAAGCTACATGAAATTAAATTCCTAGAACATTTGCAGATATGACGCGCTACTGAGCTGTTGAATTGATAATTACAAGAAGAGGCGACTGGTCTAGACAATTTGTCATTTAACCTCGGTATCACTATCGGATGTGTAGAAAATAGTAGTTGTAGGTATTTTGGATCATCCTACCTCCTCACTTTACTTATGTCTGTTATCACTCGTGGAGGAGCAACGTCCTTTCACCACCATTCTCCGTCAAATTCTGTCCTGGGAAATTCTTTACATTTCTTTCTAGTTGCTATTCATCCTTTACATGTCTGCTTCCAATTCCCGAACAGTGTGTTCTTTGGTCATCCGCTTTTTTGTTTCCCTTCAGAATTCCAAGTTAGTGCTTGCCTCGTGATGCAGTTTGATGATTTTCTCAATGTATGTCCTATCCACTTCCAACGTCTTTTCCTAATTTCTTCCTCAGTTGGAAGCTGATTTGTTCTCTCCCAAAATAGGCTGTTGCTGATGGTATCCGGTCAATGGACATTGAGTATCTTGTGTAGACAATTGTTTGTAAATACTTGTATCTTTTTGATGATGGTTGTATTAGTTCTTCACGTTTCAGCTCCGTGCAGTAAGACTGTCTTGACGTTCGTATTGAAGATTCAGACTTTGATATTGGTTGACAGTTGTTTTGAATTTCATGTGTTCTTCAACTGTAGGAATGCTGTTGTTGCTTTGCCAACCCTCGCCTTTACATCTGTATCCGATCCTCCGCGTTCATCAATGATGCTACTCAAATATATGAAACTTTCTACCTGTTCCAGAGTTTCTCCATTAAGTGTGCTTGATTTGTTTGGTGTTTTTTGTGTTGTATTTGAGGATGTTGCTTCTTCCCTTGTATATGTTGAAGCCTGCTGCTGCTACACTGTTTGTCTTGACCTGCATTTGTTGATGTGTATGGAATAGAAGGGCTAGGTGATTTGCGAAGTCCAAATCGTCTAGTTGTATGCAAGCTGTTCATTGTATTCTGTGCTTCCTCTCAGATGTGGTCTTCATAATCCAGTCAACCACCAGAAGAAAAAGAAAAGTAGAGAGTAGGAAGTTTTTTCTGACTTCGGTTCTCACTTAGAATGCAGCTGTCCTCCATGCATGACATTTCATTGCAGTCCGACGTATGAACTCCATATGATGTTGGAGATTTTCTCAACTATTCCCACCACGGTTTTGAAGAAGGTTTCATAATATTCTCTTATCAATGCTGTCAGACGCTTTTTGATAGTCGAGAAAGTTGGTGCATAGTTACGAATTCCATTTAATTGATTGCTCAACAATGATCCATAGTGTTGCGACGTAGTCTATGCACGACCGATCCTTATGGAATCCAGCCTGTTGATCTCGAAGATTGTTCTTTGTAACCTAAGTATTAAAATTTTGTTGGGTCTATCATCTTTAAATGATAAACGTATTAATAGCAGGTGTTTATTTACTACTTTGACTTTTATTTTATCTTCGTAATTTTGAAAGATTTATATATCTTAAAATTGGATTTATAACTTTAGAATCTAATGAGAACTTATTGAAGACAATACTCTTTGTTTAGTTCATATAATTGTTCAATTAAAATTTCATTAATTACTGATTTATTAACTAAATCAATCAAATTCACCTCATAAACCTTTGAACTTTAATAAACTTTCATAAATGTACTCACTTTGGATTGTGTTCCATATAAATCACTTTGTTATATTGGTTGTGTTGTTGAAATAATTCACTAAGTTCCGACATATGTGTTGTTACTGATATCTGTTTTGTAAATGAAATTCAGCTTTAGTATCAATTAAAAGCTAAACTTTTAATTTATTCTTTATACGGAAAAGAGAAATAAAACTAATTACGTCTTGGAGAGTGTTGACTTAACGGGGCTTTGAGGAATGTCGTATGATTATCAAAATCAGTATAATTTTTTTCAGGTTATGTTGTAATTGTTTCGTAAAAATCAGTTCCATTTTAATCTGTTAGTACAGTAGAAGATATCAACCTATTGACTTGTGTAAAACAGGTATCCCTTTTAAAGTTTAATTATTAATTCATTTACCGGATTGTAATTTATTCAGTAAGAATACTATGGTTTAATTTTAGATAAAGAAATAATTTTTGATAAATGAACTTGCTATGTTCTGAGCTGAGGCTGTTGGAGGTAATGATTTCAATGGTATTTTAGTCGACATTTTCAAGTTAGGTAGTTTCACGAATATATACTGATATATCAAATTCACTCTATAAATGGTTTTTTAATAAATGTATATAGCAATAATTAATTATATAGGTGTAAACTCACAAGTGCTCCAATAATGACAAATATGATGAAAATACGACCTAAATAACTTATACATACAATATCTCCATAACCAACGGTAGCCAATGTTACAAGGATCATGTATAAGCAATCCAAATATTCAAGTTTTTGACCGTTTCTTTCTGTGATCCAAAAATTACCCATGCGTTCAAGCTACAAGATAAACAGAGGGAATAGTGTAATAATGAAAATACTGAATGACTGAGATTTTCAATACCCGTTAGTAAAAAGGCTTCAGGGATGGAATTAATTAGTGATCATTTAATTATAAATAGATAAATTTCTTAACGAAATATCCCTGTTTGTAAATAGAACAGGTCCTAATACCACATGGAAAATATATTTTGTCTGCAGAAACAAAATGCTATCCTTAACAATTATAACCATAATCATGAAGAATTAGAATGGCCGTTTTCATTTCAAATCGCTTAGAGATTTTGTAGACAAATTACGGAGTTTCAAAGATCACACCCCTCGGACCTATTCTAACTGTCTTACAACCGATTTGAAAAATACATTACTTTGACCAACAATAGACGGCTTTAATCCATATATGAGATTTATGGATTGCAACATAATCTGGAATAAAAATAGAGATTTCATTATCATATTATTCACGCTCAGTGGCTGTCATCAATCTATTCAGCTCAGACTAGAGGCGATCTTGAAATTACATCTCCTTGATGTTCTAATGAAATACAAACTAGAAGAACCATTACAGACATACAGATGTATATAGTAAATCAACTTTAAATGAATTATATACGAGTTTTCATATCTGATTCCTATTGAGAAGGATACGGAGCATGGTTAACTCTTTATACTTGAGGGCCAGAAGAGTATTTGTCGATGAAAACAAGCTATATAAACTATCCGAATACCCATCGAAGATTGACTGTCCTGTCAGACTTACTGGCAGTAAACTCAAGTCAAATCGCAACCTGAAAAGTCTTCTACAGTACCAATGAAGACCATTTATTATGGATATCGACTATAAAAGTTATACTGCATCAGAAATCTCGAACGTTGAACTTCAAGAACCTCGAAAAACTTTCTATTTCGAAAAGCTTCGTATAATTTTTTTTCAGTCGGTCTATCATTTGTGAACGATTGAAATACAAATTTCTTTAAGCTACATAAATGTACATCTATGAGGGTTCCATCTCTTGTACATGCCAAACATTTTCTAAAATCATCTTAGATAGTTAACAGACTCGACTTTTGAAAGAAGTGTGCAAAACAATCAACAGGTTTATTTGGAAACATCTCATGCCTTCTAGTTGCGTTGCTCAGACTGAACGATCTTTCTAAATCGCCTACTTATTCAAACAGGTGGACTCAAAGGGAGCGTGCCATAAAAACATGCACTTCAGAGGCTTTAGAAAGAGTTCAAGATTAAACACTGTTTACAAAATCTTTACTTTTAATTTCTCATTTTACCATGGTCTCAACACCCTCCTAGGATTTTTCTTACTCAATATCCATAATTATCATTCACATGTCATTACCTACTTCCAATTATTCAACTGTTGTTATCACCTCTACGAATTTGATTTTTCTTCCACACTTATCACGTGAACAACTATCCTTCAAACTTATGATCCGTAAACTATTTTTATCTGACTATTTTTATTCTAACATTGAGACCTTCTTGTAATATTTGAAATCATCAAACAATTCGTTACATCTCTTTTTATTTATCATTTGACAAATGTATTTATTAAATAACTGTAAATACTATCGTATGGCCACAGTAAGTAATGTCATTAAAAAATTTCCTTCAACGAATTCCCTTTATTTGTTTCCCAATTGACCAAAGGGGTTTCTCCCTATATGTATCTTTAGTAATTAAAAATATAGTTTTATGTATTATACACAGTTTTTTTCCTAAAATATTCTACTGTATCTTTCATTTTCATTCACTGTTATTATTGTCAATTTGTGAATAAAATATAGCTCATAAAACTATAATTATTTACCATTAATAACTTACAACAAATGCAATACCAGCTATAACAGTCCATGCAGCCAAGAGTTCAAATATTAAATTTACTATACGTATAGAACGTTCATGATTTATAATTCTTAATAATACTAATGATTCAGGAATTTTTGTCAGTCTAGCGAAATACAAAAATCCAAACACTAATAAAAGCAAAAGAGGAAGGGAAAATAATTAAAATAATTAATGAATAACAATTTTTATATGTAGTTCAAATCATGAGTCAATTGAAGCTAGAAAACCGTTGAAAACCTGGAAGCACTAGACGGCCGTTTCGTGCTATTGTGGGACTCTTCAGCAGTGCGCATCCATGATCCCGCCTCGCGAGATTCGAACCCAGGACCTACCAGTATCGCGAATAACAATAATGTTTATTACTTTTTATATAATACTGATTAGACTGAAATGAATTAGTTTTTTTAATACATTCATTCTATCAGTAATTGTGAGTGAACGAAAAAAACATGTCAATTGTTAATAGTGAAACTCTTCAGGCTTTGAAACGGTTTAGAAGATTTGTAGCTCAGGTGGATCTTCAGGCTTTCTTCTAACTTTTTAATATTTATCAAATGAATATGTCAGCACTTAAAAAGATATTGGTTATGGAGTAACTAACAAACACGGATAAAATGGGAATGAATACATCTTGCGTAATAAGTATTGCTTGTGAAATAGTAGTCCGGTGAATAACTCTTTAATATTTATGTCAATAGGAATGTAACCCTAACTAGAGTTGGAACACCAGTACAACTACTGAGGTTCTGATGTCAGAAACGTTCCAAATGATATATTCTAGTGAATGCCAAGACTATTTAACATTTTGTTAGAATCTTTAAAATCACTTAAGGTAACTTACTGAACTGATACTGTCCTGTAATAAATGTTGAAAAAGTTGAGAGTATGGTGCAATGATCAATCAGAGAGTACAGTGACATCCATGTTGCGAATAAATCATTAGATGCGATAGCCTAAACACGAATGTTTAGAATTTTTCCGTCAAATACGAAAAAATCTCATTAAAAAAAGTGAATATTATTTGCAAATTACTCTTAAAATGAACATGATTAGAAAGATACAATTACAGCTCATTTCTACATAGAATCTCCATTGTTCTGTGAAAGCGGTACAGAAAGTATTTCCTGTTAAAATCCTGGAAAATAAGAAATAAATAACTGGGAATATTCAAACTTACTGATGTGTATTCCATAAGTATATGCTCATACAAAATAAGCCTGATAAAGTTCTTGATAGTATCTAAAATCAGAAAAAGAATACAAAATTTATAAGAATGAATAAGTTTACAGACTAAGTACAAATGACATACTCGAATAGCCCATTAAATTTAACTACAATTATGATCATCTTAAAACCAGTTGAACTTAAACATACTGTTCACTAATGAAGAGTGCATCTCTATTATGATCATAGCGTGTATGTGCACTGCCGAGGAGTCACATACTAGGACGAAACAGCAATCCTCTGCACCCAGATTCTTAGTGGTGGTCTAACATTGATCATTTCATGGTTTCATTAAAAAAAATTCAGCAATATCCTCAACCATATACTAAAAAGGGTGATCAACCAACATAGTGATTCGTAAACAAGTTACATAGAAAGTACTTGCTGAAGGTATTTGATGTAAACATAGTTTGAAAAAGTTTATATTGGACAAGGACTTAATCCATTTATCCGTTATCTTATGATTCTTTTTCAAAATCCATACATAAAATATAACATTAAAATGTAATATAAGTAATAAGTCTCAAAATGTCCATGGTCAGGACATTTATGGTGACTAATTATGGAAGGTAAAAGCTATAACGATAATAAATGCTTTATATGTAAGTTTAAAATTCGAACAATATGAAAATAACATGAAGCAATTGTTTAATAAATAAACATCAAAAGAATATATAGATGGATTCACTAGGAAATAACTTTGAATAGTTCATATTCCCATTTAATCACCGATTGCTAACATCTATACACTTATAATAAGATATAGAGATCTTTGGTTTAATGTTATAAGAATGGGTAGGGATCAACTTTGTAGAGTAACAAAAAGTATATGTAAGTTGTTCTATATTTCTCAGTTTCCATCAGTTTATCTTATGATAGCAATTCTTGATGAAAACCGTTTATAAATACAAGATAAATGACATTTGATACAAATTAATGATTTGGATAATATGAAAAGAGATAACATTTTACACTTCATACCTAACAGTTTCAAGAACAAATATTTTCTGACGACCAACGTTCGTAAATAAAACATGTTTAGTTTAATCTAATACATATCAGATGAAGTTTTCTACGTTAGAATACAATAGACAAATGTAATTTGTGATAGGAATATCATTTTATTTAGATAATTGATTGATTAATGTTAGACCACCATTTGAGACCTGGAAGCACTGGACGGCCGTTTCGTCCCAGTATGGGACACCCCGGCAGTGAGCATCCACGATCATGCATGCGGGGTCCGAGACTAGGACCTTCGCGAACGCTTAAACTCCAGACTACTGAGCATCTAATCGTGTTAATGTTAAATTCAACCAATCCACGATATTGCGCGACCACCTTCCATTGTCTTCGGTGGGTAAGTGCTTCACACTCGATACGGTTGAACTTTACTGGTCACGGCTTCGCACTGGGACTCCGAGAATTCCCTTTCAGAGCTAGTCCCTAGTGAGCACATGATAGTCATCAGTATAAGGTCGTGGAGATTGTAGAGCTTTTTATTGTTTATGGTCTAATATTGATCGGTTCATAATCTTAATAAAAATCTCAACAATCTCCACGACCCTATATTGATAAGAATATTAATTAGTATTGATAGTTACACAAATGAAAATGAGATGATCAGCCTAATAAAATTATAAGTGTAAACATACCAATAATCTTCCAAATGCATTTTTTCCAGCCAATGTAGCTTTAGCATATTTTAATAACCATAATGAATTTTTAAATCGTAATAATTTTCGAACATTTTCTTCATCTAAATCTCTTTTCTTTCGTCTTCTTTGATATAATGTAGTTAAATAGATTAACAATGCTCCCATAAAAAATGTCCCTAAACATATTGACAACAAAATAGCTGCTTGTAATTCACATGAATATTGATTTAATAATGTTAAATTCATTTTCAAATATGATAAAGTCAGTTACACATTTGTTTGTCTGAAATAAAATGACAACTTTTTATTTAAAAAAGAAAAATAGAGTATACGTGGTTTCATTTGTCATTTACTAATGAACTTGAGGTTACTTAATAAACAACCTAAAAAAAACACGAACTACTCACATGATTTTTTAATATCAAGATCATATATGCACAATTAATACATGTATCATTCAGCAATATTTAAATGTATTATACTAAGTTAAGGTCATACTATTGTTCAGAAATTCTACAACGTGGATTGATTGGTTATAAGAATAATAGATTTAGAAATGCCATGGTACGACCGAGAGTAGGGAGAGTCCGTTCTCCCTCTCGGACTGCTCTCACATAGCCACGCATATATAGCCTCTGTCAGGGAAGTCCTACTCACTGCCTTCTCGTGTTGGGGGTGTTGTCTACGAAACTAAGAGGATGAAAAGCGAATGTCTGGTGCTTTAACCGGATCGGTGGACACGGAAATTTCACCTAGGGGAGTTGGAAAACCCTGATTCCAATCCAATGGTGCACATGGACTCCAGTATCCTGAGGGAACATATGGCGTAGGAATCAATCGTTAGTCACCGGCTACCATGGGACTGCATCTCCTCACGATGCTCCACTGCCTTGTGAATCAGACCTTTAGGTCAAAGGCTCGGGTCGTGGTCCCCTAAGAAAACCACCTGCTTCGGTCTGTGCACCTGGTCAGTATCACTGCCCTCATACAATCAAATGAAATGACAATTTTTGTGTGGCGCATATATATCTGGTGCTTCCTTGTACCAAAATTTATGTGTTCAAATCAATAAAATACATAATGATTTGGTATATGGTAATTTAAACCAACGTACACACGCCCTCATACAAATCGAGTGAGATTTGTGCGGCGCATATGTATTTGGTGCTTCCTTGTACCAATATTTATGTGTTTAAATAAATAAATAAAATAAGATTTAGAAATTATCACTTTTCAAGAAGAGAAATAAAACAGACAATCAATTTTGGAAGGGAGTAAAATTAGAAAAATGGACTTACTTGAAAAATTTTTCTGGTTAGCTTTTTTTTAGCTAGTTGGTTTTCTACGGGATGAGGTCGCTAACCCCATGCCCAACCCTCCTCCTTTACCAGGGCTTGGAACCGGCAGTAGCCCTCGGAGGAGCTACAGGCGGAGTTAAAGTTAGAAAAATGAATGATGTGAAATAATACTTGTTATGTAATCCTAAATATATGAACATAATTTCAGGTTATTATTCTTCAAAGTTATGAACTAATAACTATAAAATTACTAATTTTGAATTTGTTTTTAAAGTATTTTATGGAGGTACTATGTATGTTAAAATTATGTTCGCAAACACAATGATGACATTTTGTGAATACAGGAATTACTTTGGTTATGTCAATGTGGGCAAGAGTTTACCAAGCGATCAATGAAAATCTAGACAAAATATGTGAATCAGACTCATTTATAAATAAAGTATATGTCTATTGTGTTACTGTGCTTGATTTAAATGCAGTTATTAATGAGAAACTTACCAAGTGTTTGCCGAAGTATTGGAGAATTTAAGCATGATTATCATCCTTACCAAAAAAATATTTGAAAATCAAGAAAGATTGAAGGCCTAAACAATTGTCTATATAAAATGACTGAATAATATACGTTGTGCACCACATACGCAAGAACGTAGAAGTCTCGAACAAATGTTTTTATCCATCCATTTATTAGACACTGATTGTGAAAATGCATGTAAAAAGAAGAATTTCATTGATATGTATTTGTTAACAATAATCCTCTGAGCAAGACTGACTGGAAAATAACTCATTTATGAAGCGTGAACACAAATGTTTTCCGGATACCATGATAAAGATGTGAATATAATGTTTAGTGATTGAGTAATTAAACACCAGATAGTTATTTTTTAATTCTATCACAGTTTTAAATATAACAGTACTAATAGATATTGTTGTATAATATGCTGATATATATATATATATATATATATATATATATATATATATATATATATATTCATTTGTAAAGTATTATTCACTTGGTAAATTTCCTGCCAAATCATTTTCTCTAATACACATGAATATTTATACGAAAATGTTAGACCAATCAAGGCAATTTGAGTCAATAATCACAATGATATAGAATACGTCACCGAGCATAATAGGTAAAAGTACAGGTTGATGGTGGGAAGACAGGTTTAATAATGGTAGTAGGAATATTAATTTATGATAACAAAAGTCTCATCAATAGTAAAACACTGGAAACTGGAGATCAAACGTGGGTAAATAGACTTAGAATAGTTATCACAAAACGTTAAAATCGTTACGTAATAAGAAGTATGTGAATAATTAGATAGTGAAGAATACAAACGGTAAGAGGCGGAAAATCACAAACAAATAAGGGATGTGAAAATAATGCTAATGATAACAAAATTAAAAATAAAATTTAAATAAAAATAGTGATGACATTTGTTAAGTTATATCCGACCATGGAAGGGATAGTGGGTCCTGGATTCCACTGCTAGCCACTATCCATCTTTGCTTACAATGCTTATGAATTTAGGCTATGTCGAGGCAATACGCACAGTATGCACATATGCCAATTACAGACTGACCAGTTTCAGTCCTAAACATCAATAGGAAGATTCAAACAAACAATACTTAGTGAAAAATTATGATAGATTGGTGGGATAAAGATAGTTCGTATTCTATACAATACTATCTCGCTATCATTGTAAATATATACCAGAATATGTTAAAAATACGTCACCGTAATCCCATTACATTAAAAGTGCATAGATTGTTTGGAGGTAGTTATATTATTTTCAAAGCAATTTATTCATAAACCGATTCCAGTCAAAGAACCATTGAAAACAAATAACACCTAATAACTGTTTCTTATTCAGTTTGAAATTTCACATCATTGTATTTCAGTTATTGAATGTGAATTTAAAGATTAATAGCTTTTTGAACGTTGTTTAATTCACAAAATACTATATCTCATCTTACGTCATTTTATCAGTTACCATCTCATTTATGATACAAATTATAGGGCTCCATAAGAAATTTGAGAAGTTCATATCCTAGCTTATCACTCTAAAACAGATGATTTTCTTTCAGCGAGTTAATAATTCTGGCATTTATTTATATTTTGAAGGCGATCATTATATCATATCGAATAAATTTGGACGACATCTTAGTTACCATTTAAAATTGCTTTATGTTCTAAAGTGTATTCAGGATTTTCATATGATTAAAATCAAACCGATATCACGTAGCACACATAATCAGCTTATGGTGAGATTATTACAAATGATTTTTCGATATCTCATAGATTGTCCTCTTATGCGAACTATCGATTAAGTTTATTCAGTTGACTCATTCATGATTCCTTTCACTATTTAACAGATGATAGGAGTATGCAATTGAAAATTAAACATAGCGTTCAGATTTACATGTATGTAGTATATGTTTAATAAGAAACTGACTTAACCAATTACTGCTATGCTATCAAGACGATTCTTATTACACTATACACTAATAATTACGAAAATGAGTCTTATAGGTCGATGATAACCATATGAATATATAAATCAAGATAAATTTGAGTGTCTGTTTCTTCTAAATAGATGGAGTTGTAAATGGATTCCTAATCTTTCTCCGAAGCTGGAGATTAAACTCTACAAATAAAGTAAAAAAACATGACATAAAAATCTAATCTGGTGACTAGTATACCGACGTTAAAATGAATAATTTCTAAAGGTATAACATGTAAATCAATAGATCGATAAATATGAACTACTTTACGATCTATATTTTTTCATGATTTTCTCGATAAATATAGAGCAAAAAAATACGAAATAAAATTATACATTTCTTATTGATTATCACACCACCGTAGTAAAGCTCAAAAATTAACATAAAGAACACCGGAGAATTTCAATTCTCGTACTTTTTACTTACAACTGTTGCCCCTCGTGGAATAGTATAGACTGTCCACTAGCATTCTCCAACAAACTCTGTCCTGGATAATCCTTTACAGTTGTTTCCAGCTTCTGTTCATTCTTCTGATACCTGTTTCCGATTCCTAACGTAATGTGTTCTTTGGCATTCCTCTTTTTCATTTCCTTTCACAGTTCCAAAATAACACCTGCCTCGTGATATAGTTTGATTATTTCCGTAATGCATATCCTATCCGCCTCCATTGTCTCCTCCTTTACTCCGGTTACTGCCAGTCCCAAGCACGGGTAAAGGGGGAGGATTGGGTATGCGGTCAGCAACCACATCCCACCGAAAACAACCTTGCTAAATAACGCTAACTAGAATAAACAATTCAAACCATTTAAACTCTGTCCTAGGAGTTGAAGGGAGAATTATTACGCCTCATGGTGAAAGCTGAGATTCTTTAGAAGTGACGAGGCCGGTGCCCCTTCTAACAACCAAAACAACAATTAATATAGGTTCAATTCCTGTAGCTATTTGAAGTCATAATTTAATATATGGATTTACTTTTATTACAGCAAGGTAGATAGATTTTATTCAGTTGATTCCTTTTACAAGTTTAAACGGAGTAAGTAAGATATTATTTGAAGAGTAAGATGAATCTACTGTATTTCATTGCTTTCTTTTCAGCTACATACAGGCTAATAAGTTTAGTTAAATTAAAAATTAAAAATTGAATAACCCTTCAATACCGAATGAGTTATTTAATAAGGATTCTTTATAATTGTTTAAGTTGATAGTTTTAGAGCTTCTATGATAATTTCATGATGTAATACAACGATTAATTGTGTTTGAGGCGGCTTGTCGACGGATCCTGAAGTTATTGAGAAAGGTACTGTCCTAAGTTTACTTCAACATCTCAAACCTTAGAAGTCCAGTGGTCCTGACGATATTCGTCTTAGGATTATGAAAGCCCTGTCGGATTTAATTGCTGAACCTATGGCCATGTTGTCTAATATTTCTCTGCGACGG